AAGGGAGAGCCAAGATGTGTGGTTGCAGCCTGCGCTCCTGCTTCACCATATAAATCAACTCAAGTGCAGCCATTATCCAGCTCATCATACTTCTCATCATCATCAAAACCCCTATACCACCAAAAGTCTTATGGCGATGGACGACTGCCGGGGGTCTCTAGTCACAACTCTGCACATGGGCGGCATAGATAAGATGGTCGTTTATGCACTGGGATCTAGGCAGCAGTACAATCCGATCCTGTCTATGTGACTAAGCAGCCTTCTCGAGGACCCACTCTGCTCACCCCACATGGGGGAGGGGGCTAAAAAGGTGCCCTAAACATAGCCTGCCTAAAGAACCAAACTGACTGGGCAACCGCACCCATTAAGGTCATCCTTATGCTGTAGAAAACACAATCATAATCACAGATCAAAACAAAAACAATCTATACAACCTCCTATAGTCACTGCGTGCAATGTCAGGACCCTTCTGGATACTGTCACAAATGAGCATCCTGAAAAAAGAACTGCCCTTGTGGCAAAAGAGCTAGCTAGGTATAATATCGATATAGCAGCCATTAGAAAGACACGGCTCCCAAACGAGGGTCAATCACAGAACGGGATTCTAATTATACCTTCTTTTAGAAGGGTAAACCTGCTGCGGAGAGAAACCGCATTTATGGAGTTGGCGTTGTCATTTGCCAATACATCCTACATAGGCTAACTGAGATGCCTGTTGGGATCAACGAGCGCCTCATGACGCTCCGAGTCCCACTGAATCACACAAGACATGCCATTTTCATCAGTGCATATGTCCCAATACTGAAAGCAGAGGATGACATCAAGGAGGCCTTTTATGCCGACCTTAACAGAGTGCTAACCTCTATCTCCAGAAAAGATAAGGTTGTGCTCCTAGGTGACTTCAATGCCAGAGCTGGCAGATACTGACATTTGGCAGGTAATCATAGGGAGAAATGGATGAGGCAAGTGTAATCCCAGCGGCCTACTCCTCCTCAGCAAGTGTGCTGCACACAACCTCACTATCACCGATACCTTGTCTAGACAAGCCGACAAGTTCAAGGGTTCATGGCAGCACCCACGATCCAAACACTGGCATCTCATTGACTACATCATGGTCACAGAAAGAGATCGCCGAGATCTTCTCATCACCCGAGCCATGCGTTGCTCAGACCACTGCGACACTGATCATCGGCTCGTGAGAGCCAAGCTCTCACTTTAAGTCACCCCAAAATGGCGAAGGCAACAAATCTCCAGAAGAGGTTTTAACACTAAGCGTTTGGAGGATCCAGCGGTAGCACATGCATTCAGAGAGCAGCTCGAACATGGGCTGATAAACAACCCGAAAACAAACAATCCAATTCCCAATGCCGAATGGGGTATTCTCCACACTGTCATGGCAAAAACCTGTAGATAGACCCTCGACCAGATCGAAAGAATACACGAAGACTGGTTTGGTGAAAATGACCCGGAAATCAATGTACTCGTCAATGAAAAACGCGCTGCTCAAACTGACTGGCAGAACAATCCAAAATCTCAAACCAAAGCTGATACCTTCCTCAAGAAGAAAGCAGTGGCCCAGCGCGAACTTCGCGTTCTAAAGAACGACTGGCTTAAAAATAAAGCATGTGAAACACAAAAACTTGCAGATCAACACAAGATGCGCGAATTCGTCAATTCCACTAAAATATTTTATAGGCCAATCATTCATGGTGCAACCCCCTCCGTCCCTCCGATGGTAACTCCCTAATCAAAGACGAAGGAAACATCTTTCAGTGGTGAAAAGAGCACTGCCATTCGATGCTCAACCGAACCACCGATGTGGATATCCTGGCTATCCAGCAGGTCCCTCAGCATCTAGAGCTGACCCACCTCAACTATCCTCCATCCTTGGATGAAGTAGCTACTGCAATCAAACAGATGAAAAATATCAAAGCCTCAGGGCCATATGAAATCCAAGCCGAGGTGTAAAAAGCAGGAGGACCTCTGTTTACCAGCCGTCTCCACTCTCTCCTGGAGACCATGTGGAATAAGGAGGAAATCCCCCAAGCCCTTAAAGACGCCTCCATCGTCAATATTTATAAGAACAAGGGAGACCGGTCAGACTATGGCAAATACCACGGGATCTTGCTGCTGTCCGTAGGTGGCAAGATTATTGCCCGATTCCTCCAAAACAGACTTCTTCCTCAGGCGGCAAACGTCCTCCCTGAATCTCAATGTGGCTCTAGACCATCACGTGACACTACTGACACGATCTGTGCTGCTTGCCAGATACAGGAAAAGTGCAGAGAACAGAGTCGTGACCTGTACATGGTCTTTATCAATCTAACTAAGGCCTTCGACTCGGTAAACAGGGAAGCCCTCTGGCGGACCCCCAGCCGTTTTGGCTGCCCACTAAAATTCATTGCCATTGTGAGGCAAATACACAATGGCATGGACGGCAGTGTCCAACACAATGGCACCCAGTCTGAGATCCTTCCTATTCAAACGGGTGTAAAACAAGGGTGTGTACTGGCACCAACTCTCTTTTCCATTTTCTTGGCTGCCTTCCTTACTTGTGCGAGTGCCAATTCAGCCGGCGGGTTGGACATCCAGTACTAGATGCAGGGTCTCTTTAATATAAGACGACTCCAGGTAAGAACAAAGGTGACTGCAACTTCCATTACTGAACTTCAGTATGCAGACAACCTCACCCTTGTTGCTCACACTGAACGTGACCTACAGGAGATCCTGAACACCTACTCAGATGCTTATGCACACTTCGGCCTTGATATGAATGTACGTAAGACTCAGATTCGCTTTTAGCCTGCCCCTGGTTCAGCCACACCTCTCCACCATCCACCTTCTCTAATGTTACCCAGTTTCAGTATCTCAAATCCCACCTGTCCACCAACGCGGACTTTGATGAAGAGATTCAACATCGGATCAGATGTGCATTTCAAGCCCTTGGCAGACTCCATACCCGTGTCTTCAGCTGTAGGAGCTGAAATTATCTACAAAGTCGTACGTATTTTGAGCAGTGCCTCCCCCTGCTATATGGCAGCAAGACATGGGTCACATACAGGAGGAACCTCAAGGCACTTAAAACTTTCACCAACGTAGCTTACATTCCATCCTCTGAGTTCGGTGGGAAGACAAAATAACAAATGCCAATATTCTTGCTGACACCAACTGTACAAGCATCGAGGCTACCATTATTCATGAACAACTACGTTGACTTGCCATTTTATCCGCTGCCTGGACAACAGTAAACTGCCAGAGCAACTACTTTGCAGTCACCTAAAGAATGGTAAACGTAACACTGGCGGGCAACGGAAAAGGTGCAAGGATAGTCCTAGGACAAACCTGGAAAAGTGTCAAATCGACACCCTCACCTGGGAGATGATCACTCCACACCGTAATGCTCGGAGGAACACCACACGAGAAGGTCTCAATACTTTCTAGTTAGCCCGACTGCATACCGAGGCAGACAAGCCAGTGCTAGAAAGAGGCTGCCACCGCCTCTCCCACACTAGATGTACCCCTCCACACATGCAACATCAAGAGACGACCCAGCCGGTCCCGTATCGGCCTCTCGAGTCACCTCAGAGCTCACCAACGAAGGAGACGTTTTTAATAACTCATTCCATTGTATCATAGCTGGATGATCGTCATACTCGATTCCGAGTGATAGCAAAGTAGTAGTAGTAGTAGTACTAGTGTGTGTGTGTGTGTGCGTGTGTGTGTGTTTGTGAAGGGAAACATGCGCCTTAACACTATTATCTTATCGACACACACACACACACACACACACACACACAGTCACACACCCGTAACTCCCCACAATGATAGTAGGTGATAACTAATGATAACACTGAGGTGAGCAACTCTCTCTCTCTCTCTCTCTCTCTCTCTCTCTCTCTCTCACACACTTCCATACACACTCCCTCCCCTCACACCCCCAAAATCTTATCACGACGTCGGTCACGTGACAGCCTATTGTGTAGTAAATATTTATTGTTTACTCAAATGTCTGTAGGCCCAATTCTTACTAGGCCCAGAGTTCTAGTAAGTCCCAATCCTATTTGATCCTTAATCCTAATATCCCCAGCCCTAATAGCCATAGTCCTAATAAACCACTGTCCTAATAGGCCCCAGTCCTAATAGACCCATTCCTAATAGGCCCATTCCTAATAGACCCAGTCTTAATAGGTCTCAATCCTAATAACACCATCTTTAATAGCCTCAGTATTAATAGCTTCAACCCCAATAGCCTCAGTCCTAATAGGCCCTCAAACCTAATAGGCCCCTAGTCCTAAGAGACACCAGTCCTAATAAACCTCCACTCCTAATGGACACCAGTCCTAATAGGCCTCAGTCCTAGTTCACATCACAAAACTGTGCCTTGCGGTCTAATGACAGATATAACGCATTTTACCTACAATAACACCACTTTAAATAATCTGATTCATGGCCGCCAAGTGATGGAAATTGGTGAGTGAGAATTTCCTGCAACTGACTTTTGACCCTTCCTTCATGTCCACTGTATGACATCAGAGTGTTCCAACGATCCCCTTTGTAAAGAGTAAGCTAATAAACCTTGACAAAGACCCTTCAGGTTTATCATTCTTCAGCGTGGACTTGTGTGGTATAATACCAGACCTCTGTTGTAACATTACAAGGAAGTTCTGCGTCATTTAGTACATGCGTAGACGTGACCTCAGTGACGGAAGGGATTTTAGTCATCGGCTGAGTCATAGTGTCGAAGTGTTGGCAGTACAGGATGTCTTCACTCCAGCCTACACTCTCATGGTCACTTTCTTTGTGTGCGAGTTACGTTGACACTCAACATGTACATCCGTTAGCCAGTTGGTGTGTTGCTAAGTTAAAAGTCTTTGTAGAGAGCGGTCGTATGTTTAACACAAGTGGTAGAGTAAGTTGTGTATGAGATAACACCAGAGGGTACTTATCAGTGTTCGCCTGCCAGCCATCGTCACTGTTTTATCTTATCGGTGTAGCGCATATCCTTGGTGGCTCAGTGTACAGTGTTCCCGCCCTACTACAGGAGTACCACCAAGTTCCTGACCAAACGAGGAAGTCTTCTGCTGCTCACTGGCGCCAAAAACCGTCAGTGTAGTAGTGTGTGTGGAGTTACTGCTTATATTGGTGTGGTGGAGAAGGTGGTGGTGGTAATGGTGTGATAGTGTGATAGTGTGTGGGAGACGTGAGCCAGTGTGTGTGGACTACAAGCGTTATCGTGGGAATATCACTAATTTCTGGACCAAAGCGGAATGTCTCTCACTGATCCTAAAACACCAAGACCCCGCCAGTGTTGGGGACAACAATCGTGGTGCTGCTGCTTGTGGTGGTGGTGGTGGTGTTGCCTGTGGTTGTACTCCCTGTAGTGGTGTTATGGTGTTAGTTCCATCCGTATGTATAAGGATGGAGGAGGAGGATGTGCGCTTGTGTGTGGTGTAATGGTCAGCATTCTTGCCTCGAAAGCAAGCGAACCCGAGTTCGATCCCCGGCAGGGTGAAACTATGGGCAAGTTTGTTTACGCCATTTGCCCCTGTCTACCCAGCAGTAATTGGGAACCTGGATGTTAATCGATTTGCGGATCGTATTCCAGGGTAATGGTTAGCCAGTGCAGTTGGCGAGTTGTCCGGTCTTCTCGGACTATTCCTTGACACTGGGTCATGCAACTCGTTAACTTAGAGTGTGGTTGTTGTGTTGGTGACAGCTTCTACACCTTAAACAAATTCACGCCTAGGTGGCCCTTGGGCCGGACATCCTCGTTATACGAGGGGCAACCATTATTTTTATATTGTGTGTGTGTTATTGATATTGATATTGAAACAGCTGATTTAACCAGAAAAACACAGATACAGAGTTGATAATAATAACAATATTAACATGGATGAGCCAGTTGAGAGCCTGAGCTCTTTTGAAGGCACCTGATATATACTTTACATTTATATCAAGGAAGTATTATGTAACATTTAGTATCATCTAGAACACATAGCATGGTGGTAATAAGAACATCTCATAATGTTACCACGGCTATCATTTCGTTATTTATATATTTCATATTTTTTTTTTATTATAAGTATATACATAATTTACAGTGGAGTTGATAAACATAAACATAGGTTGTATTAAGGTGGAACACGGGGACAGAGCTGTCAATATCATGTCATGCCAGCAAATATAATTGTTGCAATGATAGTTTCTATCTCCGTGACAATTTATGATGCAGTGGTTTTGGTGGTACAGTAAAAGTAGGAATATAATATAGGTATTACAAATATATTAAAACTTAGACAATAAATATTTTTTAAGAGGTGATTTAAAGGAAGGGAGCGTTGTCTTTACTCGGATGGGTGGGGCAAGTTGTTCCACACCTTCACACAGTGATATTTTATGGAGGTCTGGGACTGAGAGGAGCGCATGAAGGGGGGGAGGGGGTAATAGCTCTGTGTGTCTCAAGTTGTAACTCTGGTTATTCCAGAACTGCAAATAATTATTGTCAATCAAGTAATTGACAGATTTGTAAATCAAATAGGGCAAAGCAGTAGATGTTAATACCCTCGAACTTAAACATTTTTAATTTAGCAAATTGTTCGTCAGTGTGATCAGTTTTTTTTTTCAAGTAGGTCATTGTCTGCACAACTCTCTTTTGTGCAGTAATCAAGGGTTGTGTTTTCGTAGAGCCAGAGGCCTGCCCCTATAGTGTGTGACAGTGTATCAGGTGTTGGTAAACAAAATCATAATAGATGTCTTTCATTGCTGCAAGAGTGAGTGACTGACGAGTGTAATACATGACACCGCACTGTTTATTGACTTTACTGTGAATGGCTTGTGTGTGATTTCTCCAGATAAGTTTCTCATCAACAATAACCCCGAGGAATTAAGTATTTTGTTAACGTTTGAGGAGTGTATTACCAAGGGGGTCCAAATGTGGGGGGTAAGTTTTCCTTCTGTGAAAGATTGTGTAATGGGTTTTTTCGAGGTTTAAGGTCAGTTATTACGTATTACCCAGGTCCTGACTTCAGTCAGTTCAGTGTTCATGGTTCTCGTCAAGGAATGGAGATCTTAGTTGCTGGCATAGAGATTACTATCGTCTGCAAATAGGTTGTACTTGATTAGTGTGCTGGAATGGACTATATCATTTATGTACAACAAAAACAGTACTGGGCCGAGAATGGAACCTTGACGGACGCCATACAAAATTGGCGAGGAGTCAGATTGATGATTATTATAGCAGACATACTGCTTCCTATTAGACAGATATGAGGTAAACCAATTGTGGGATAAGCCCCTAACGCCGTAATGTTCAAGCTTTGCCAGGAGGATGGTATGGTCGACAGTATCAAAGGCTTTAGAGAGGTCCAAGAATACACCGACTCTGAACTGACTGTCATCAAAGGAGTTTAAGATGTCATTAGTAAAGGATAGCAGGGCACTCTCAGTTGACCTTCTAGCTCTAAATCCAAACTGAGAGTCTGTAAGGATGTTATTGATACTGCAGAAAGAATTTAGTCTACTACATGATAGTTTCTCCCGTATATTAAGATTATGACGTCATTATAGGAGCAACACACCAACACCGGCCTCCAACGTGTCCTAAGACCGAAGACTCGTCGATGATGGTGCTAGTGGTGGTGGTGGTGGTGGTGGTGGTGGGATAGTGGTTGTGATATTGTAGTGGAATGGTGGAGATGGTGGAGATGGTGGTGGTGATAGTGTAGTGGAATTGGAGATGGTGATGGTGATAGTATAGTTGAATTGTGGTGGTGATGGTGGAGATGGTGTGTGGTGAATAATTACATACTGTATTGGATCTCAGCTCTGACAGGCCCTTGCTTAACCCAACCACCACTTAATGCACAGTATAGGGGTCCACACTAAGGGGCTACAAGGACTGGGGCCTATTTTGGATCACCTGAAGATTCACACCCAAGCTGATTTCACCTGCAGATTGACAATTCTAATCTAAATTAATCAAACATAACCCAACCTAATCTAACCTAACTTAACCTAACCGAACCTAACTTAACTTCATTTAACCTAACCTACGCTAACATAGCCTAACCTAACTGAGCTTAACTTAATCTACCCTAACCTAACCGAACTTAGCCTAACCTAACACTAACTTAACCACCTCCTCTACCCAAACCTAACATAACCCAACCTAACCTAGCCTAACCTAACCTAACCCCCAGGTAGAATTAGGATGTATAATCTTCAGGTGATCACCTAAACTGTGTGTGTGTGTGTGTGTGTGTGAGCGTTATCATGTCACCTTCCCCCTCACTCTTCTCTATAATCTACAACATGAGGTGATTGTGTACACTCTCTTATTCAGTGTAAGTCACTGTAACAGTATACATCTTTTCAGTACTCAATGTATATCTCTCCAGAACTCAGTATGACAGTGTAAATGTCTCCAGTACTCAATAAAGGAAGGAGACTACTGAGTACTGTACAAACATGTCCTTCAGAGAATGCAACTTCTGCAAAATGGGAATGATACCTTAATTAATTGATGAATTGATTGGTTGAATAATTGATTGACTGATTTTCTGATTGATGTGTATATATTCACTGACAAAGCGACTTCCATTGATGCGAACACCTAATGATTAGATGCCCCAGGATATTTAATTTGTAGATAAAACGCCCTAGAATTACTTGGGGGAGGTTAGGTTAGGTTAGGTTACGTTACGTTACGTTACGTTACGTTACGTTACATTACATTAGGATAGACATTTAGGCTATCTAATCTTTAAATATTTTAATTGATTTTTTCCCATAAACAATGACTATCTATCTAACTCCAGCGTTTACGTGACTTACCAGAATTGTACTGCGGAGTGAGGGGACGAGGAGGTGAATGAGAAAATCTATGCCACCTACCTGTTGGCGAGAGCTACCTGTACTCAACTGTTGACGAGGGCCACCTGTACTCAACTGTTGACGAGGGCCACCTGTACTCAACTGTTGACGAGGGCCACCTGTACTCAACTGTTGACGAGGGCCACCTGTACTCACCCTGTAGAAGAAATATATATATATAAAGATGAGTGGGGAGGATCAACCGACACTGGTGAGTATGATTAACACTCATAAATCTTATAGATTGTCAGGATATATACAGATAAATCTCGACCTTCTGGTATGACCTTAGCCAGGAGAGAGATATAAAGATAAACAAAGCAGAACAGTGTGGTCTGAAAACATATACTGTAGTTTACACTTCAGGTACACTACTGGGAATGCATTAACACATAGTTTACACCCCAGGTTCAAAGCGCCCTGGCTGGTGAAGTTGCTGGGGTAAGCACGGCGTTGGAGACGGGCACTGTGGTCGATGATGTGGAGGACGGTAGGACGGCTCTCCACAACGCCGCCAACGAGGGCCACCTTGACGTGGTGAAGGTCCTGCTCTACTGGAAGGCAGACATCAACAAGAGAAGCAGATTCGTGGATGACAACCGTGAGTGTGACAAGTCCTCCTTGAAGGGTTCCTCGGGGTTCACATGTCCTCTTTGAAGGGTTCCTCGGGGTTCATATATCCTCCTTGAAGGGTTCCTCGGGGTTCACATGTCCTCCTTGAAGGATTCCTGGGGGTTGAGATGTCCACCTTGAAGGATTTGTCGGGGTTTAGATGTCCACCTTGAAGGGTTTCTCGGTTCACATGTCCTCGTTGAGGGGTCCCTTAAGGTTGACATATCCTCCTTGAAGGGTTCTTCAAAGTTCAGATTCCTCCTTGAAGGGTCCTGCGGTGTTCACATGTTTTCCTTGCAGGGTTCCTCGGGGTTCTCATGTTCTACTTAAAATGTACCTCATGGTCCACAAGCCCTCCTTGAAGAGATCCTCAAAGTTCACACGTCCTCTTTGAAGGGTTTGAAGGGTTTCTCGGGGTTCATATGTTGTCTATGAAAGATTCCTCAATGTTCACATGTCATCCTTGAAGCGTTCTTCATAGTTCACATGTACTCCTAGAAGGGTTCTTCTGGGCTCATATGTCCTCCTTGAAGGATTCCTCACGGTTTACATGTACTCCTAGAAGGATTCTTCTGGGTTCAGATGTCCTCCTTGAAGAGTTCTTCATGGTTCATATGTCCTCCTTGAAGGATTCCTCACGGTTTACATGTACTCCTAGAAGGATTCTTCTGGGTTCAGATGTTCTCCTGAAGGGTTCTTCATGGTTCACATGTCCTCCTTGAAGGATTCTTCATGGTTCACATGCCCTCCTTGAAGGATTCCTCACAGTTTACATGTACTCCTAGAAGGATTCCTCTGGGTTCACATGTACTCCTAGAAGGGTTCTTCAGGGTTCAGATGTCCTCTTGAAGGGTTCTTCATGGTTCACATGTCCTCCTTGAAGGATTCTTCAGGGTTCAGATGTCCTCTTGAAGGGTTCTTCATGGTTCACATGTTCTCCTGAAGGGTTCTTCGGGGTCCAGATGTCCTCCTTGAAGGGTTCTTCATGGTTCACATGTTCTCCTGAAGGGTTCTTCGGGGTTCAGATGTCCTCCTTGAAGGGTTCTTCATGGTTCACATGTTCTCCTGAAGGGTTCTTCGGGGTTCAGATGTCCTCCTTGAAGGGTTCTTCATGGTTCACATGTTCTCCTGAAGGGTTCTTCGGGGTTCAGATGTCCTCCTTGAAGGGTTCTTCATGGTTCACATGTTCTCCTGAAGGGTTCTTCAGTGTTCAGATGTCCTCCTTGAAGGGTTCTTCATGGTTCACATGTTCTCCTGAAGGGTTCTTCAGGGTTCAGATGTCCTCCTTGAAGGGTTCTTCATGGTTCACATGTTCTCCTGAAGGGTTCTTCAGGGTTCAGATGTCCTCCTTGAAGGGTTCTTCATGGTTCACATGTCCTCCTAGAAGGGTTCCTCTGGGTTCACATGTCCTCCTAGAAGGGTTCCTCTGGGTTCACATGTCCTCCTTTAAGGTTTTCGGGTACACATGTCCTCCTTGAAGGGTCTTCATGGTTCACATGTTCTCCTGAAGGGTTCTTTGGGGTTCAGATGTCCTCCTTGAAGGGTTCTTCATGGTTCACATGTTCTCCTGAAGGGTTCCTTCGGGGTTCAGATGTCCTCCTGAAGGGTTTCTTCATGGTTTACATGTTCTCCTGAAGGGTTCTTCGGGGTTCAGATGTCCTCTGAAGGGTTTTTCATGGTTCACATGTTCTCCTGAAGGGTTTTTTTGGGGTCTTATGTCCTCCTTGAAGGGTTCTTCATGGTTCACATGTCCTCCTAGAAGGGTTCCTCTGGGTTCACATGTCCTCCTAGAAGGGTTCCTCTGGGTTCACATGTCCTCCTTTAAGGTTTTCGGGTACACATGTCCTCCGTAAAGGCTTCCTCAGGGCTCACACCTCAATCATGCAGGACTCCTTGGGTTGTTCACGTACCCAGGACAAAACATGAGTGTGAGTGTCATATGTGTGTTTACCTTTTGCAGGGGGAACGGCGCTCCACCTTCTTGGAAAAACGGACACACGGAGATCCTGGAACTATTGTTGTCTTCAGGTGCTGAAAAAGAAGCGCTTGATGACAAAGGTAAGATGAACACAACTCTTTACCTCTGTTGACACGTTATCAGGTTTGCTTTTTTTTTCTCTCACTCACTCGCCCATTTATGACTCATGGCAATAAATTTACCAGACAGTTTTACAGTTATGAACAGGCAGTAAAACTTATGGTTTACTGAGAGTGCCTGACGCCTTACATGAGAGCACTACGACGTGTGACAGAACAGTATTTCAATGACATTTGATGGTATTTTTGGCTCATTGATAATCCCTGACACTTTTTATGCTAATTTTAATCTGTAACAGAGCTGTGTATAGTACCTAAACAGAGAGCCTCACTGTTAACGATCCAACATACGTCTTTACTTTGATAATAATCAGAATTCACCTTAATATTAGATACCCCAGAATTTCACCTAATGATTAAACACCCTAACCCTAACCTAACCTATTCTAACAAAATTTAGCTTAATACAACATAACATCATAACCTAACCTAACGTAACCCCCAAAGCGTTAGGGTTTTTAATTATCAGGTGAAATACTGTAAGCAGGGGAGGGGCTAATCTTATTGTCTTCAGATAATCCGTCAACAGAGTTTGAATATTAAGAATATGTCTACATTGCCTCTCGGTGATGTATCTCTGACCCCAAAAAAAAGATCAAACATACGTACGGTACCCTTGTATATTACAAGTGTCCATGACAACTTTACTGTCGTTTAGGGCGACGGGCGACACACAGGGCAGCCTCGAGGGGTCAACTGGAGTCCCTAGAGGTGTTACACAGATACGGGTGTGACCTCAACCCTCGAGACAACGGAAAAGCGACGCCCATCCACCACGCTGCCTTCTTCGGCGACTTCGACCTTGTGAAGTGGTTGGTGGAACACGGGGTTTATAGTGCTCAAGGACAAGAACGGACGCCTGCCTAAGGACGTGGCCAAGAAATACGGCCACAACGACGTGCACCGGTACCTGAAGGAGAGTAACACTAAGAGGGGCGGTATGGTGAGTGTTGCTCTACTGTAGTGTTGTTTTGTGCTCACAGAATTGGTGGTAATTACAGTCTGTCATCCAGATGATACAAAGAAAGCCACACCAATCGTTTATCTGTTTGATAGACAGATAGATGGAAAGTTATTCAGTAAATCATTATTCAGGTCCACATTGGTTTAGTAAGGACAGAGTGTTGGTATACCAGGTTATCCCAAGAAAACTGTTAAAGACGTTTATTCTTTTTTACTGCGCTGTGTGTGTGTGTGTGAAAATAATATTATTATTAATAATAATAATAATAATAATAATAATAATAATTATTATAATAATAATAATAATAATAATAATAATAATAATAATAATAATAATAATAATAATAATAATAATAATAATAATAATATTAATAATTAATTAACGGTTTATTGAAAGAGCATGGCAGCCTACAGGTACATAATTGAGGAATGATCACTTGATTGACAAATAATATACTGTACATGCAACAAAGTGATACATATATGATATATAATAACAAGGTGGGGAGAAGGTCATACTACAGTTACATTTCAAAATATTAACAGTGCAAAAGTAAGATTGGCTGGGAGTGAACACACTGGTTAACATGAGTTATTGATAATTTTTACAATGGTTGGGACTAGGCTTCTTATAGCGATCAGTGCGGGCTCGTATGGGCTCGAGGCGGTTGTGATGTCGAACACCAATTCGAGGATGAGGATTCTCGGGTGGAAGCAGGGGCCGGTGTCGAGGATGGTGCAGAAGCTTCTCCCCAAATTGGCAGATGAGGTCATGGTGGTGACCAGAGAAAGCCGAGGGATTAGTTTGTTGAGCGCTTCTTGATATGTGGAGTAGGAGGGGGAGAGAATAATCTTGCACTTTTCTAGGGATTTACGTTGTGTGGCATTTTGGGGAGTGTTACGAACCCCTCCACCCAGCACTACGAACCACGCCATCTATTGTCCTGATCTACCTACCCAGCACCACGAGCAACGCCATCTAGGGACGAGACACGAGTATGACTCGTCTTAGTTACCACTCAGGGGTTTCCCTTCTCCATATCCTGGTTGTTGCGTCACTTCCTCCAAGTCTTCTTTGTGAGCTCCAATTCGAGGAGAGAGCACTTGGCTCTGGGAAGTGACCACAGGATCATCTATCCTCTAAACCTACGGACAGTGACTACCTACCGTCTTCTACAATACTCAGCCTTACTCGTCAGCCATCTCAGCTCCTCACTTAAGTACTTGTATCTTGTATTGCCTCCCCCACGTCCACTTGCTTCAAAATGGTTTATGTTGTATTAATATGTATATACTGTTAATGTTTAGGTTAAGTTTGGTTAAGGGTAATTTATAAGCTGAATATTTTGTTAAGGGATTTATGGTACTTTATTATACACAACGAAAACTCGCATCCTTTGTCTACCCTTTTATAGTCCGATTGTCTTTGTTTTTTTGTTTTGTTACCTGTTGGGATCTGGGTAGACGTATAACTATATTCTAAATCCCCAACTCGTAACAAATGGCGACCGTGACAGGACACGACCTTAAGTACCATATTCCTTCCTCCCTTGTTACTCAGTGTTAATTATTCCTCCCAGTCACTTCTGTTCATAATTGCTTTACGGTGGTTTAAAGTTTCCTTCATATGTGTGTGCATATATTGGTATTACCGTACAGTAAGAGTGACAGCCGTAGGATATTAGGTTCCAAGTGTCATAAGGCTTACCTGTTATTACACGTGGCAGTCGTGTAGTAAGTCTTATCGAGTGTAGGGAAGAATCCGGATCTGTTTAATGCCGTACCCTCACTCCAGAGTAGGCTGTTCCATAGTCACTAGTTTAGGGTGAAGTGATATCTTGGGACGCCCCGCTCTACCAGGACCCCATAATTATAAAGCCTCAATTATTGTTCTTCTCATTATCTCATTCAGGGTCAATCATACCATTTATCAGGGTTGTTTATCCGGATCTTTATATTAACGCCGTAATACGCCCTTCCTCTTTAAAGTATCTCAGGGTTGTTAATCCGGATCTTTATATTAACGCCGTAATACGCCCTTCCTCTTTAAAGTATCTCGGGGTTGTTAATCCGGATCTTTATATAAAATGCCGTAATACGCCTTCCTCTTTCAAGTATCTCAGGGTTGTTAATCCGGATCTTTATATTAATGCCGTAATACGCCCTTCCCCTTTCAAGTCTCTTATCCTTATCTAAGGATCTTCTCAGAAGAACAATAATCATAAGTGTAATTTCCCTAGGTAGTTTCCGGGACTTTCTGGTTATCCACTGCCGTGATATTTTCTAGGGTAATTTATAAGCTGAATATTTTGTTAAGGGATTTATGGTACTCTATATATATACAAGAAAACTCGCATCCTTTGTCTACCCTTTTATAGTCCGATTGTCTTTGTTTTTTATTATTTGTTACCTGTTGGGATCTGGGTAGACGTATAACTATATTCTAAATCCCCAACTCGTAACAAATGGACCGTGACAGGACGGCAATTTGTTGCAGGTTGGGATTTAGAATAATACGTCTATCTAAAATTAACAATATAACCAACAACCTAAACATTAACAGTATATACATATTAATACAACATAAACAATCTTGAAGCAAGTGGACGTGGGGGAGTTAATACAAAATACAAGTACTTAAGTGAGGAGCTGAGATGGCTGACGAGTAGGCTGAGTATTGTAGAAGACGGTAGGTAGTCACTGCACGTAGGTTTAGAGGATAGATGATCCTGTGGTCACTTCCCAGAGCCAAGTCACAAAGAAGACTAGGAGGAAGTGACGCAACAACCAGGATATGGAAGGAAACCCCGGGTGTTAACTAGACGAGTCATACTCGTGTCTCGTCTAGATGGCGTTGCTCGTGGTGCTGGGTAGGTAGATCAGGACAATAGATGGCGTGCTTCGTAGTGCTGGGTGGAGGGGTTCGTAACAGGGAAGACCAGCGGGATTTGGGAGGAAGACCAGGCAGGGGAGGCACAGGTGAGCTTGGGAATTATGAATATTGAGTAAGCACTGAGGAGCTCGGGCGCGGGTACTCCGAGGGACTTGAGACGCCGGAGGAGGTGGAGACGAAAATTGGGGGATTTGACAGTTGTACCGACGTGTGTTTTCCAATTTAGTTTGTTATCTATAGTGACGCCTAGGAGCTTGGTGGAGTCCACAACCTGGAGTTTGTTGGGGCCCAAAGTAATGGAAGGAGGTGGGACAGGGTCAGAAGAGAGGTTGATGTGCCTAACCATGGTCTTGGCGTGGTTGATGGTGACATGATTGTTAGTAGCCCAATTTTAGAGACTGTTCAATATATTTTGGAGGGCGTTGTCGTCGAGAGCCGAGTTGCTCACATTGATCCCAATGTTCGAGTCGTCAACATATTTCTAACCAGCAGGAGATTCTCTTTGGTCATCATTGATAAGCAAGAGGAAGCATGCCTTAGGGGATGCCACAGGTGAATGACTTTGTGTGTGTGTGTGTGTGTGTGTGTGGTTTTGTTCACCCAACAGGCGGCACCATAGAGGCTGAGCTATAACGATTGGACATCAGTAATTCCCCTGAAGACAAATGCAAAGTTCAAGGTCGAATATGACGGCCACTGAGCTAAAAATTGATTCTGTGATCCTCCTCTAGGTTCTTCTACACGAACTATTCAGTTTTGATATGGTCACTTTTGTTGTGATTATTAGTTGCCTGTATAACTGTTTTAATTATTGTGAAGGTACACGAGCACCTGCATGGAGTAAAAGTAATAAGTCGGGACGACTTATTACTTTAGTTACAAAATCATATAACTAAGAAAATATTTCATGATCAGTTTCATCACAACCTTATAATATTCTTATCAAATATGTACAGTAAATATTCCATAATTAATTTCAGAATCTCCTGAAAATATCAACAATAAATTTGAGATCTATTTACAGTTTGGGGGCACCAAGGCTCGCAGGAGTATGATAGAGACATCCAACCGCCAGAGGGCTGCCCGTGACGGCTCTAGGTCAAGACCTGGATCCGTGGCTATTAGTGAACCCCTGAGGAGGTCACAGGGACCTGAGCCCGCCCTTAGGACTCAGCTATCGATGGACCTGATGGACTCCAGCCAGTCTCAAGGGGACATGCCGTCACTGGACGACACTTCTCTGGTGTCTACACTGAAGCCATCACTCCAGAACGCTAGAGTGGCCTCAGAGCCGTCCTTAACGCCCCCTGACTCACCCACCCGACACATGATGGACGCCAAGGTATGGGAGGACCTACTGGTGATGGTAGTTTAGGTGTTGAGACTATCTGCACCAGTTATAAGAGTGTGTAGTGAAGTGTAAGTGAGGTGTCTTTCATACACCTTCTACCAGACAGTGGTGAAGGATTATTATGACGGATGAATAACTAAGTAAATAGGTAATGATTTACTACATACAATATTACCTAATAGCGATAACTTACATGTATTCCTTTTGTTGTGAGACTTATTACTGGCCATAAGCGATCATGTAGATTATAAAAATTCATGTAACTGAATACTTTCACCCGAAATCTAACCTGACCTAACTTTACCTCACCTAACCTAATTGGGGTATAATTTGGTTGCCTTTTAATGGTAAATGACGTCCTAAATGAAAAAAAATTATATGCAGATTAATTTCCATTGCGATGGCTGATTTACGATCGACAAAGAAACAAACACAGGGCTGTAGTGCGCGGGTTGGCCGTGAGACGGCATATGGATAGGCATTCAAGTGAAGGTAGAGATGCGTGGACTGTAGGGGTATCGAGATATTAATGTTGTCTAGCACTCAGGATGGAAGGAAACTCTAATGCGGTTTTCTTGTATAATATAAGTTATATGATAGACAGTCTGGTGCTGGAGGTGCCGTGTGGTGAGGGGCTGCTCAGAGGAGACGTTCGGTGAGTAGCGTGTTGAAGGAGGTAGATGTGCAGGGGCTTCGTTAGAGAAGATGTTGCCTGTTGCTGGCCTCCTGGTTGAATGAATGTTAACAGCGAGGAGCTTGCTGGAGGAGGTGTTGCTTGTTCAGGAAGATGGGCAGAATGAGAGTTGGTTGGTGAGGAAGCTCAGAGAAGGACAGCTGGTGGGTCGCCATGCTCGCTGGCGGGAGCGAGGACCGCCAGGCAGGCGAGGAGAAGCGAAGGCAGCCAGGCAGCGGCGGAGGAGGAGGTGTTGCTTGTTCAAGAAGAATGGTCAGAATGAATCTCAATGGAGAGACAGAGCTTATATACCCAGCAGCAGCCGCCAGTCCTCTATGAATCATGTTGGGAAAACCCAGAAAGTCGCCGGTGACTAGTTCCGTTGCTAAGATACGGTAACATCTGGTTGGTTGCTAGGGAGGCGGTAGCAGGTGGTGGCTGTGGCTACGCAGTTGTAGGAAGTTGTAGGGGAGACGTCCACTACAGGACCATAGGGTTAAAATTAATATTGTTTCCTTATAAAATTTCACTGACTTGACATAGAAAAATATAATTTGCTTTGCTTGAATCCTTGCAAGACAACGATTAATATGAGTATACATAACCCCCAGTTTGCACTAGAGATAAAAAAAATCCATTCAGTGGATATCCATGGCTATTCATTCGATGGATATCGTTTAAGCATTTTTTTTTTCATATATAGACGAGATGGTCTTAGTTTGTGACCATCGTTAAAGCTGAATATCGCTTAATGGGATATTGGGGCCTAGGGGAAAATTAAACAAATCAAGAGTGAGAAACGATATATATGTTGTGTGGTCAAAGAAACAGAAACAGGTGAGACCCTGAAATGTGGGTAAATAAGGCAGAAAGTCAGATCAGCAACCTAGGACTATTATGTCACAATTTTTGTGGTGCTATATAGCAGCAATTGACTCTGCTCGGGGAAGCTTACAAGTATAAGAAGGATGAATAACAGTACCAACATAAGGATAAACAGAAACGTTTATTTGGTAACGTTTCGACAAATCTCTTGTCATCATCAGACCTAAAACATAAAATTAAATACAATAGCATCGAAAAAGTACAATATGATGATGCGTGTGTTTCTTCTCAACGTTGATAGAAAATTAATATAAAGATGTTCATCACAGTCATGAACATGTTCATTACAATCATGAACATGTTCATCACAGTCATGAACATGTTCTTATTTCCATCAACGTTGAGAAGAAACACACACATCATCAGTGTTGTAAATATGGAATACAACAGTCACCAGTTTCGTTAAAAAATATAATTAAATAAAATAATTAAAAAAATAATGTTCGATCTAACAAATTACATTTATTAAAAGATAACGTTAATAAATACAACCCATAATAAACACTCAAATTAAAACACAACATTAATGTGTTTAAACTTTACATTATGAAACTTTATAACATCTTATTATTGTAAAATCAGCTGAAATGAACAAAAAAAAAAGATCGTAAGCAGTGACACAAATACTTACTATAAAATGATCAAACACGACAGACAAAAACCCACAAAACTAAATAAATTATCGAATAAAACATCAAATGGCTACAGTAAAGTAAGATTGTCATAAAATAAAAAAATTCAACCTCAAAACGGATCACATAAATATTCAACACCTCGGATTATTTCACCTGAATATTAATCATCCTAATTTAACCTAACCCCACCAGGATAGCATTATGATTGCTAATTTCCAGGTGACCCTTAGAATGTGTAGAACTAAAACAAACTTAATCTATTTACAATGTCACAACGAAATGGTAACTGCGTGAAGTGGGAATGTTGTGTTATTGCTGTTGTTGTTGTTCGTATTAATCTTTTAGCGATCGATGACTCAGAGATGACATTGTGTAAGATTTCAGCCTCCCCCCCCCAAAAAAAAAAATTAAACAATTACAGTAAAAAAGGCAAAATTATTATACATGTTCAGAGTTCTTTTTGGCCACATATAACAAGATGGATGTCTCACCTTCTTGTAAACACCTGGATGTCGACAAATATTCCAAAATTATGGAGATACAAAAGAAATATGAACTCTCTTCAAACAAGTTCTCGGCAAGACTAATGTGTTTATCAGAACGATTGCGAGCATTTATCCATATATCATAAGTTTTCTTTTCTCTATAAGAACATAATAAAATAAGGAATCTGCAATAGGCCGGTTGGCCCGTGCATGGCAGCTCCTGTCGAGAGTTACTACCACTCTATCATCCATGAATCTATCTATCCTCCTTTTAAAGCTTTCCAGCGTTCCATCACCTACTACAAAGTTGCTAAGCTTGTTCCACTCGTCTACCACCCTATTTGTGAACCAGTTCCTTCCTATCTCCCTCCTAAACCTAAACTTATCCAACTTAAATCCGTTGCTACGAGTCCTATCCTGCTCGGATATTATAAGAACTTTATCTATACTCCTTTATTGATTCCTTTCACCCACTTCAATACTTCTATCATATCTCCCCACACTTTTCGTCTTTCTAGGGAATGCAAGTTTAATTTCTTTAATCTATCTTGATATGGAAGGTTTCTAAGTCCCGGAATCATTTTCGCCATTCTTCTCTGCACCGACTCCAGTGAATTGATATCCGGTCTCTAATAAGGGCACCAGAACTGAACAGCATAATCGAGGTGCGGCCTAACTAGCGTAAGATATAGTGCAATATGACCTCCGCACTCTTATTACTTACATTTCTAGATATAAAACCTAATACTCTGTTTGCCTTATTTCGAACATTAACGCACTGTTTTCTAGGCCGTAGGTCCGGGTTTACAAATACCCGTAAGTCTCTTTCACAAGTCGACTTCTCTAGGTTGATGTTGTTAAGGCTGTATACATTGGCAGTATTTGTTCTTCCAATATTAAGTACGCTGCACTTGCTGGTGTTGAATTTCATTTGCCATTTTTCTGACCACTTCTGCAGTTTATTTAAATCCTCCTGTAGTGCATTTGTGTCCTGCCGTGAATTAATCTGCCACCCTATTTTGATGTCATCCTCAAACTTACTTATGTCACTGCTAATCCCAGTACCTAGATCGTTTATGTAGATTATGAACAAGAGTGGGCCCAGTACTGACCCCTCGGGAACCCACTGGTTACACAGCCCCACTCAGATTTAGCACCATCGGTGAGCCATGACTTTATCCAATTTAAAAATTTCCCCTCGATACCATGAGCCTTAACTTTTCTCAGAATCCTCTGATGCGGTACTCTGTCAAACGCTTTGCTAAAGTCTAAGTAAATAACATCGTAATTTTCGTCATTATCTACTACTTGGTGTGCTCTCTGCTTGGGATTTGAGCTTTGCTGGTGATTCCGTATATTGCACAAATAACCATAATTGTTGATACACTGGTCCCGGGACCAGACGCGGGAACACACGGAGGTTACCAGAAGATGTGTGTCTAGAACAGTGACGTCACAGAGCTGTACATTGTGGGTAAAACAAGTGCCCGGTGGATTATCCTTACTATCTCTAATCCTTCCCCTACCCTACCCTACCCTACCCGACCCTCCCCTAACGTAACCCTCCGGTTAGCGTTAGAGATTTAATATTAAAATTAAATAAGATAAGTTAGGTTTGGAGGGTGATGTGATAAATGCACAGTGTTTATCGGGTACATACTGTACCTTCAAGAGAGCTGCAACACTCGAAAGACTCTTAGCGTTGCTGTTGTTTACTTTGTATCTCTGCTATTCTGGCTAAATCAATATTACGTGACACAGGTGGAGCCTCGGAAGCGGACCTGGAGTCTGAGGTCAGCTAAAGGCAGGAGCAGCCTCAAGTCTATGGTAGATGATCTCGCAGAAATCAAGGTAAGGGCACTTGAGGCATACTAATGCTCACTTTCATGGGATGGGACCCATCCATCCATGACTGTGTGTGTGTGTGTGTGCGTGTAAAACTTTCCAATGCGATAGCATGAACAAATATCAATAGATTTTAACCAAACTTAGTACAGTACAGACATATACACCATAACAAAATCACATACGAGTTTGATAAACAATATTTAACTCTTCTCACTGGATCGAAGTTGTAGGTTTCTTGTGCTCACGATCGAACGGCTGATCTTGAACATTTTCTCAGGCACTACACCTACACTACACTACACCTGAGTATGAATCGTGTGTGTAAACGCAATAGGAACCAGGATAATACTAATTGTTTCACTTATATTGTACTGGTGTTTTGATGATATAACATGTCACAGCATATTTGTCCGAGACTTGAGCAAGTCATCTACAGGTTTCACACTTGCTGGGTCAATCTGAATTTGTATAACTAAATATCTATCTATCTATCTATCTATCTATTTATCTAACTTTATGTCTGTCTTTCTGTCTGTCTGTCTGTCTGTCTGTCTTTCTGTTTTTATATCCAATTATCTATCTATCTATCTATCTATCTCTTTATCTATCTATATATATATATATATATATATATCTGTCTTTCTAAATATCTATCTGTCTGTCTGTCTGTCTGTCTGTCTGCCACATGCGAAGGGGGAATGTAGGAAAATTGGCACAGAAAAAATGGCAATAGGAAAATATGGCATTGGAAAAAAAGGCATAATCATCAGACTAGGAAAAATGGCACATTAATTTTTATTGACATGTTTTCGCTAAAATTTTATGACGTTTGTTACTAAAACTTACTTAGAGTTATATCAACGCCATAACATAAAACATTTATTACCTTTAACCAAAACATTCTCCCCTACGTTAGTGAAAACTCGTACATAAATGAATTACAAAATTAAAAATGTCACATTGCATATTATTGTTTAAGATTTCCAACGAATGTTATAGCCAGCGCCTAGCACAAACTCTTGGACTGACTTGTGACCAGCTTGGCGGTCCTGGCAGAGGGTCTTCAGCCTTGTCTAGAGGTTCTTGTAAACTCGTATTTGGCTCTTCCTGGGTGATTCACCACGAGATTCTTTGATGATGTGAAATGATACAACAGCATGGTCAGCTTGGATCCACTGGATGGAACGCCAGATAGTTGGCTGGCTGTGCCCAACCAACCTGGTAGTAGAGGAAGTAAAGAAAGCTTTGAAAGGATTGAGTGTTAGTTACAAGACTAGCGAGGTCATCATAAAACTATATATTGCGCTTGTGAGACCTGACTTGGATTACGCAGTTCAGTTCTGGTCACCGTACTACAGAATGAATATAGAATCCCTGGGCATTGGGAACCTTGAGTACAGAGACATGTTAAAGCATCTTAATCTGCACTCCCTCGAGAGACGTAGAGTGAGGGGCGATATGATCGAAGTGTATAAATGGAATTCAGGGCTAAACAAAGGTGATATAACAAGTTTCCAAACATCATCATTAACTCTAATACGCTGGATAGCTTCAAACATAGGCTCGCTAGCTCGTTTGTGGTTCGTGAGCTCGAAGTGAAATTTGTTGTGCCATTTCTTCTAGTATGAAAATTATGCCATTTTTTCCTGTGTCATTTTTTCCGAGTACCGCGAAGGGGAGTAACATTGATCAGATTATGGATGGAACTTGATCAAAGAGGTGACATTATAGTTTGGATACATCTTGATTTTATAGTTTGAGTACATCTTGATTACATAGTTTGAGTACATCTTGATTATATAGTTTGAGTACATCTTGATTATATAGTTTGAGTACATCTTGATTATAAACAGCAATTACGAGATGGTTGGTTGACCAGTTTGCGTAGTGAAACATACCCAGATAATAGACGATATACAACCAAGCAGTTTACCAGAAGTTGTTGCTCACACAGGGAAGACAAGACGAGGAACTCGAATACAGGGCTGAAGAAATAACCCAACTCAAGAACCAGCTAAGTCGTCTGGAGAATGAGAAGGTAAACACTTGAGGCGGCTCGTGTGGTCGTCCTTCCTCACCAGGTCTTCAGAGAGGATGAACAACTAATTATCCTCAGCATCGTTATGTTGGGCATTAGTCTAAACATGATTGATTTAGATAAAGTTTTTTTTCTGGTGTTTATTAGTTACTTCACCTAATTTAGGCTCACCTTATATAACGTAACCTAATATAACCTTAGCTAACCTGATATACGTTAACATAATATGTTCTAATTTAACCTAATTTCACTTAGCTTAAATTATTCTAGGACAACTTGATTTCATCCTATTTATCATAATCAAATCTAACCTAACCTAACCCAAAATAATCTTATTAACCTAACCTAAATCCACCATAGCTTAACCTAATTTAACATAATCTAATGCTAAGCTACCCTAACGTAGCCTAACCAAATTTAACATAAGCTGACTTGACTTCCTAATCTAAACAAACCTAACTTAACCTAACCTACTATAACCTTATTTAATTTAACCCATCCCAACCAAACCTAACCTAACCTAATCTAACCTAAATTAATTTAACCGAGCATAACCTAACCTAATCGAACCTTACATCCCAGGATTCGGTAACATTAGGATGATTAATCAATAGGAAAAATAAGCTGGATACTAACCTTCACGTGATCTATTGGTTTAAGTTATAACACCCTGAGGATAATGGTTTAAGTTTTAACACCCTGAGGTTAATGGTTTAAGTTTTAACACTCTGAGGATAATGGTTTAAGTTATAACACCCTGAGGATAATGGTTTAAGTTATAACATTCTAAGGATGATGGTTTAAGTTATAACACCCTGAGGATGATGGTTTAAGTTATAACTCCCTGAGGATGATGGTTTAAGTTATAACATTCTGAGGATGATGGTTTAAGTTATAACACCCTGAGGATGATGGTTTAAGTTATAACACCCTGAGGATGATGGATTAAGTTATAACATTCTAAGGATGATGGTTTAAGTTATAACACCCTGAGGATGATGGTTTAAGTTATAACTCCCTGAGGATGATGGTTTAAGTTATAACATTCTGAGGATGATGGTTTAAGTTATAACACCCTGAGGATGATGGTTTAAGTTATAACACCCTGAGGATGATGGATTAAGTTATAACATTCTAAGGATGATGGTTTAGTTATAACACCTGAGATGATGGTTTAAGTTGTCACATTCTGAGGATGATGGTTTAAGTTATATACCCTGAGGATGATGGTTTAGTTATAACATTCTGAGGATGATGGTTTAAGTTATACACCCTGGTGATGATGGTTTGAAGTTATAACACCTGAGGATGATGGTTTAGTTATAACACCCAAGAATGATGGTTTAAGTTATAACATTCAGAGATGATGGTTTAGATATAACTCCCTGAGGATGATGGTTTAGGATTGATAACATTCTGAGGATGATGGTTTAGGTTTTACATTCTGAGGATGATGGTTTAAGTTATAACACCCTGAGGATGATGGTTTAAGTTATAACATTCTGAGGATGATGGTTTGAAGTTATAACTCCTGAGGATGATGGTTTAAGTTATAACACCCGGGATGATGGTTTAAGTTGTCCATTCTGAGGATGATGGTTTAAGTTATAATACCTTGAGATGATGGTTTAAGTTATAACATTCTGAGGATGATGGTTTAAGTTATAACTCTGAGGATGATGGTTTAAGTTATAACACGGATGATGGTTTAAGTTGTCACATTCTGAGGATGATGGTTTAAGTTATAACTCCCTGAGGATGATGGTTTAAGTTATAACACCTGAGGATGATGGTTTAAGTTACTAACCTAGGATGATAGTTTAGTTATAACTCTGAGGATGATGGTTTAAGTTATAACATCCTGAGATGATGGTTTTAGTTATAACCCCTGAGGATGATGGTTTAAGTTATAACACCCTGAGGATGATGGTTTAAGTTATAACATTCTGAGGATGATGGTTTAAGTTATAACACCCTGAGGATGATGGTTTGAGTTATAACATTCTGAGGATGATAGTTTCAGTTATAACACCCTGAGGATGATGGTTTAAGTTTTAACATTCTGATGATGATGGTTTAGTTATAACATTTTGAGTTATAACAAGCATAGTGTTGTTTGGTCACTCACATCGTTTAATGAAACATTTTCTTTTTTAGATAATTGGGTTATTGTTTATAGTAGGGAAGTTAATTTAAGAAGAGGTGTCGGATCCAACTTTCTACTGTTATTCACAAGAAGGTGGTCCAGTCTTTTGGTTTAATTCGAGATTGAAGCTGACTTAAAGGTGTTTATTTGGTTATACATTTCTTTTTGTTTTTGTATTAAATTTGATTATTTTTATTGTCGTTTGGTATTGGTGGTGGATTATTTACCTATTCTGCTTTTAATATGAACCAAGCGTGTTCCTCGCTCTTCTTACTACTGGTGGTTCGTTGTCGAGCTGTTAGCTACAGTTTCTGGAGTCTAACTCATTTAAACTTGTTGCCATGTTTTTTGGCTTGGTTTTAGATGTCTACGTTTACCGTGTTGATGTTGGCTCTTTTGTGGGAGTTCTTTTTGTTTGTTACTCTTTCGTAACTGATGTTATATGAATCATGCTTTTTATTTTGTACCGTTTGAATTTTCTAATTTCGTTGCACTGAATGGGTTGGTTGGTACAAGCGATAGCACATCAATGATTTTATTAGTGCCGTGTATAATTTCCTTTTTTGTTTGGTGTGCAGGCTTTTTAATATTCTTTATTTTTGATTGTTTGTTGCGTAGTTTGTGGATCTTTCGTTGATGAAGCCTCTGGTAACCATCTTTGTGGTTTTCAGTCCCAGGATGCTGCCTTCCTTGGTGCAAGGGTAAATTCTCCATCTACTATTACTGTCTGGACCTTTTTTTTTTAAGTAATTGGTATGATTTTTAAATTTGTTGATGTTTGTCCGTATTTTATTTCTTTTCGTAGTCATTTATGTTTTTTATTGCTATGCCGTATGTATGTGCCATCATTGCTTCTACTTTTCCGACATGATATGTTTTGTGTGATGTCATCGGCAACGATAATGTGTTCGCCGGTAAGTTGGTGTTGGTTCAGGTAAGCGTTTCTTATACCGTATATGGCGAATAGTGTTGGGGGGATAGACGCCTCGAGCACCTTAATTTCTAGGTCGAAGGTGGTCCTAAATGGCTGCCAATTTGTAGCTGTGCTACTCTGTTTGAGGTAGTCACATAGGATTCTTTTTTTCTGCAGGTAGGTCTTAGTTTTAGTATTTTTATATGTTAGTCCGTTGTGCCACACTTATAAAAGGCCTTCCACATCTCTTAAGACTATTTCTACTTGGTTTCCTTGCTGTTTTTCTTGGCTAAAATTTCTGTTATTATTGCTATTGCCGTTTGGGTTCCTCCACCCTTCTAAAGCCGTGCTGTCTTGGGTTGTTTTTATTGTGGTTAGGCAGGAACTTGTCTCGTCTGTTATTTAGTATGCGTTCTAAGAGTTTCCTGTTTATTTCATTAAGGTCTGTAGATTATTATTTGTTTGGGGTCCTTGGCCTTCTTTGATAATGAAGATCATTTTTGCCCCCTGAGGGCGACGGGAAAGTAACCAGAAGGATAAGGTTGAGTTGCAATATTTATCAGGGCTTCCATTGGTCTGCTGCAGGTTTAACAACATGTTTCGGGTCATGCCGCCTCAGTCCAGGGGATTTTCTTTTAAATCATGTGCAGGCAGTAGTAGTTCGTCGTGATTTATGAATTATTGGGTCTAGTTCTTCGAGCTTCCTGTGGCAGGGAGTCATTCTATTGCTTAGTTCTCTGTCAGTCTTTAATTAATTCCTCGCGTTCTTCGTCAAAACTTTTAATTTTCTTCTTCTGATATCTAAGATCTTTCCACTCTCTTCTGAATATTCTTCTTTTTCATGGCTGTAGAGTTTTTTGTCCGTTTTGGTCTTTAACAGTTTATTGTCCGTTTTTTTCGTGCCAAGTAGTTTGTTGATGGCCGGAAGTTTTTGAGTCCCTTTGTGGTACCCATGTTTTTTATTAGATTGTTCCATTTTTCTTAATTAATTTGCCTGTACTCTTCTTTTGTAAGCCTTGTTGGATTTTCATTACGGAGTAGTTCTCTAGTGGCCCAGTTTGTTCAATAAATGTCCATATGTTATTATATTGCACTTGTAGTCTCTTTAATTTTCGTTGGGTTTGTTACTCGGAGGTTCTCGGTGTGTCATTATTGGGGTTGTCTGGTTGATTGCTTGTTTTATTTCCTCGAGTGTTGCATCTTTTAGATTTATTTCTGCAGTTTTCCCACAACCTATTTCATCCAGTCTGTTTTACTCTCATCTGTAGCTTTGGTGGTATTTTTTGTTGAATTGGGCTGGTGGAAATTGTGAATATTATTGGAATGTGGTCGCTTGGGGTGATGGGACCTTGCTCTATGTGGTAGTTATGAAACGCTTTGTTGTTGTTGTAGAAGATTTTGTCGGTATGTTGAAACGCCATTGGCCCATCCAGGTATGCGGGTCCAGGTGAAGTAGTCTGCCAGTGTTGATTATATTACATTCCAATGCTGTGCCTATCTGGTTATTGTTGCCGTTGTTAAAAAATGTGGTGTCTTGCATTGAAATCTCCCAGGATGTACATTAGACATTATAATTGTTGTTTCAGCAGGTCTCTATAGGAGGATGGTCTTCTTTGGGGGTAGGTATGTTAAGTTGCGATTATTATTTCACCTTGTGTTATCTGTACTATAATGGCAAGGAATCTGTTGTGTTGTCTATTAGTGTGTTTGATGCCTTTTTTCACCGCTACGGCAACTCCTGTCATGTTTTTCTCCACTTTTTGTTCCATTGGTGGGTTCGCCGTGTGCATTTATTAATATTACTGTACAGTACATTTGGATTTTTTCATTGAATATGTTACGAAGCGATGTCTTGCATGTGTGCTAGTCACGGACATTGTGTTGTAGGATTTTAAGTGTTTTCAGTTGTAGATGGTCCATTATTTCTTTTTCGTTGTGGTTTAGAGTTGAGGGGGTGATCTCATTTCGTTGAGTCCCGATTTTTCCCTTTGAGTTCAGCTGCAGTGATTACAACAAAGACTTTGGGGCCAATTTTTATTTTGTCTCTTTTAATCATTTTCCATACCGTTCGTCTGTGTATTGCCAGGTTACTATGTCTTCGATAAATTTTCCAGTTGGTTTTCTGTGTGGTTGGTAAGGTATTCTTGAGGTTTGATAAAACCTTAATCCTATATCTGCTGCTTCTTCAGGTATTGGGAGGGGAAGGGGGGGGGGCAGTTGTTGATGGGAAGTCGATTTCCATTTCATTTTCATTCTTCTTGGCCGCTGATTTCCTTCTCGCACCCGTTCCTTGTGTCAGTCTTGGGTCTCTCGTCTTCTCAGTCATGTCTCCAGGTCGTTCTGCTTTTTCCGGTACGTCATCCAGCTCTGTCGGTGATATTGTGTCCTTGGGCGTGTTTATTCGTTGTCTCATTACTTTAAGATGATCAGTGTCACTTAATTGATTATGGTGTCAGTAGTTGGCTTTGTTGCTTCTTTCACGGCCCACTTTCCTATTTCAGCATATGTGCTTTGATCTTTCATCCCTTTCTCTTTGGTCTTCCTGCTCTTGTTTGTACTTGATGAGGGTCTTTTTGATGGGGCAGGACATGACCAATGGCCATGGTTGGGTGGCTGTGGTACACATTCGATTCTTTGCCCCTGAATATGTATGTTTAGACACTAGCATGAAGACCTTAGGTGGTTGAGAAGCTGAAATGTTGAGAAAAATGTTTCTGCGGGTTATGATTTTTTTTAATCCAAGATGGCCGCCATAAATACTTGCGGGAAACATTGGTTTTCTGGTTGGTTAGACTCTGTAGTTCCAAACATTTGTAGTTTGAAAATCAACAAAAAATCGGAGCGACGGACAAAATCTGAACATAGTAAACCGTACTATTAGGTTGAGTCAACGACAGCATTTCCAGCCTTCCCACAGCCAGTGTTAAGAGATCCATCATTGCAAATGATCTTTGGTAGTGTATGAGTTCTAGAGCTCTCACTTTGGCAGTACATGGAGATAATGACTGCGTAAATTAATCGTTTAGGCGGGTAAATCGTTATTGTGATATTGAAGGGAACTGTCCGCCAGGGAAGCGCTGTTGTGTCTCAACTTTGTACAGGTGGTCTAGTCTAGTCCAGACATCCTCATATGTATATATGTAGTTTGAATCAATTTAGATTCACCAGTTTCATGACTCAAATATTCTAGCAGTTTATTAGAAGCAATGTTGACATGATCACCAAGCAAAGGCCTTAGGGTTATCATGAGGTTGACTTTAATTATTCTATCTCTGACACTGGATATACCTAGTTCTTTCCTCATATTAACTATCTTGGTGCTCATGGAACACCCTGTGAAAATTCTGAGGGCTTTATTTTGGTTTTTTCGTATTTGTCAATGCCCTTTCCGATCACGAAGGAACAGGGCTGGTGCGTGGTAATCTATCAGATATATCATATAGAATAGGTACATTTTTTAACTATTTTGATATTAGTACCTTAATGTGGGTTGTATCCCGCTACACTACTAAGAGGTTTCAGTCTGTCAGTGCTATACATTGGCGGATTAGCTGTTGTATGGCTGATAAGGTACAAGAGACATAGTCAACACTGTTATTACCTATCTTAAACTTGGCGGGGTCGCGTTCACAGTTACCACCTTGTTTGTTGAACACCTTAGTTTTATCAGCGGAGATGATAAGACTGAGGTTCTCACAGGCTGCGTGGACATGGTTCAGGTGCAGTTTGCATTTAACGATGAGTTTTAGTTTGTATATAAATATCATCGGCATAGCTGATTGTTATATACTTGGGACTGTCTGGAATTGACTTTATAGTGCATTCGAGACCCATCAGTGTGTGTTGTACTGAGAGACAGTGTCAACTCACCTGAATGATTCATCTGTGGACAGTCATCTGTTTTTATCCCATTTTTCCCATTTTTGTTATCCCACTTAAATGATTTAGTTCGGTTAGCTTAGGTTATATAAGATTATGATAAGTAACAATGGTTTGCATTATATTGCTAGGTTAGATTAGGTTAGGTTATCATGGGTTAAAGTTGTACTAAATTGTCTATCATCTATTTGGGAATCTCTTAAGTGTCATGTAACCTGAAGGAGAACCATGTTTCCAGAGCCAAATGGAGGACAAAGTGAAACAGATGAGAGTTCACATCGACCAGCAACAGCATCAGCTGGTGGACAGTGTGGCCCTTCAGGAGCAGCTGCAGACACTGGCCCTCGAGAATGACCAATACCAGACCAGCAGTGTAAGTTGGGATCACTGTACCATTCATTGTAAGAAGTGGTGGTTTTAAATCATTCTTACATACCAGGTTCTATAAGTAGGGATGGACGGGCTCTTCTAGTTTGTGTGTTGGGGGATGGGTTTTTGTGGTGTATGTGAGTGTGTGGGACATGCCCTTTTGGTGTGTATGGGAACGTGTCATTATGGTGTGTATGGGAGGAACGTACCCTTGTGGTTTGTGTTTAGGGGGATGTGCTCTTGTGATGAGTGTGTTGGGGGACGTGCCCTTGTGGGGTGTTTGTGGTGTTTGGGTGTGTGTGTGGGGAGGGGGGGGGTTATGTGCTTTTGTGTTGGGAGAATTGATTTCTTTTAATTTTGCTGCAGACATCAGTTAGTTTATTGAGCCTCCTCCCCCCCCCACCCCCATATTCATCCCGTGAGCGATAGTACAAATATGATTACAGAGTAGAGGCCACAAAATGTGTTTATCAGACCCCAGTGATCAAGATGTTATGGAACTGAGTGTTACAGAGTATATCCTCATTGTTTCTTTAATTCGGTAAATAGAATTTTCCTTAGGTAATAGATACTAAGTGTGGCTATAGCTTAAGGAAAACATACTCTGCTGGTGTGTGTGTGTGTGTGTGTGTGTGTGTGTGTGTGTGTGTGTGTGTGTGTGTGTGTGTGTGTGTGTGTGTGTGTGTGTGTGTGTGTGTGTGTGTGTGTGTGTGTGTGTGTGTGTGTGTGTTTGCACATAGGCCCACTGGCATACCAAACACTGCCTCGCTGCCGTGCGGATTAACCTTGGTAGGTATAACGCAACGGGTGTAAACCCCGAACGAAAAATCTGTGGTGGAGCCCCGCATCAAGCAGACATGCTTACAGAGCTCCAACAAGACCCCAACGGTGGCATACTGTAGGTGGAAAAGGTGATCAACATGGGGACCCAACGACTAGACCGACATATGAAGGCAATGCATGATGGCCAGGCTACTAAGTTGAAACCCAACAAACTGGGCTATCCATTGAAACTCTCTTTCTCTTCACAGTCGTTGCAACACTTGCACCACTGGATTAGGAAAAGAGAGAGCCAAGATGTGTGGTTGCAGCCTGCGCTCTTGCCTCACCACATAAATCAACTCACGCGCAGCCAGCATCCAGCTCATCACACTTTTCATCATCATCGGCCTCTCGAGTCATCTCAGAACTCACCAACGAAGGTGACATCCTAAAAAACTGATATCATTGTATCATAGCTGATTGATCGTCATACTCGATTCCGCAGTAATCGGCACGACGGACTTCAAGACCAAGTACGTAATGGGAAAGGTGAATGAGTGGGTTAGGGAAATCCAAGCACTATCTGAGATTACTAACACAGAGCCTCATGCGGCTTTTGCGGCATTCACCCATGGAGTCAAGCATCGATGAAACTACCTAATGCTCACTATCCCTGATATCGGACCCCTCCTCCACCCTCCGGAAGAAGCTATCAGCGTCAATTTCATTCCCAAAGTAGTGAAACACCCTCACTTAACCCCAGCAGAAAGATCACTCCTTGCACTACCACCGAGACTGGGAGGAATGGGACTGATCAATCCAGAGGAGATTACTGCCACCAAGCATCAAAACTCAGTTAAGCTCAATGCAGCTCTCACGGACCACATAATACCTCAGAACGCAACAGGGAGGTGGATACCAGTGAAGTAAACAAGATTCGAAGGTCCATTACGACAGAAAGCCAGTACGGCCAAACTGATAAGGTGCAGCAACTGTTGCTGCAAGTACCAGAGAATTTGAAAAAAAGTAGCAATAGCGCAGGAGGTGGGCGCCTCGAACTGGTTAACTACGTTACCGATAAGGGCAAATGGTTTCAGTCTCAATAAACAAGAATTTACAGATGCCAATGATCTAAGGTACGGTAGGCCAGTAGAAGGTTTGCATTCCCAATGCGTGTGTGGCTCTTCCTATGACGTCGATCACACTATGGTGTGCAAGAAAGGGGACTTCATATACATGAGGCATGATGAAGTAAGGGATCTCACAGCAAATATGTTGAAGGAAATCTACCGTGATGTCAGGGTAGAGCAGACCCTCCTTCCATTGGACGGTGAGATTTTCCAACATAGGACTTCAAACACATCCAACGAAGCCCGTGTTGACGTCAGTGCTCGAGAATTCTAGACACAGGGGCAGCAAGCCTTCTTCGACATCAGGAATTTTGATCCCATGGCCGCATGTCACCGTAACTTAGCTCTCGATGCTGCACACAGGAGGAACGAGAATGACAAGATAAGGGCATATGGGGAGAGAATTCAGAACGTTGATCAAGGCAGCTTCACTCCTCTAGTGTTTACAACCTCTGGTGGGATGGGAGCAAGTGCAAGATACTTCTACGCCAGACTCACGGAGGTGATATCCGAACAGAAGCAGCAGCCTAGAAGTACATTTTGATATGCACCTGTTGGAAGGAGAAACACACACAACGGAAAAGCTTCCTTATAACAAAAACAACTACATCTTTGACGGAAGCTTTGTTCCAAGCACAAGTGACTGTACCTACCACATTTGGGAAACTATCAGAGTGTCTATTTGAGCAGCTTCCAAAAGAATTAAAATATTGAAAGAGAATGAAGAGGTTCATCCATAGCATATTTGATCAAAAGCCAATGACAAAGATCCCAAGAGAGTGGAAAAGTTTCTTGTTAAATGAAACAAACGAGCAAAGCCTTACCTGTTTCCTTCTGAAAGAATGGAAAAGGGACAAATATGTACAAAAGCTACTGTTTGTTGTGTCAGCTGACTCGCTGTACGCAATCCGTCGGCCACCCCAGAGTGGCCAACGCCTATTAAAATATAACCTTCAAAACAAACCTCACAAACATCAGAGAATAAAAATTTGTAAGTCCCATAGATATCCTCCTAACACTTTTATGTTCGTTCAGACATAGGGTGTAGTTTATTTTTTAGTTTGGTTACATTTTTTTGTGTTTGAAGGAAATATTATTTGGGTACTCGACGCTTGGGTTGTGGTAACAGTGGGGCGATCCAGCTGATTTGAAAATATTTGTACCTGTAACTCTGCCCAGTACATTGCAATCCCGACCCATCGTATTGCCCGATGTGTCTTCTTGAATGACCTCGCAGCCGGGCATACCATCGGGCATGATGTTTAAGAATAAGGCCCTATGTCAGTGAGTGTGTCTGGGTGTGTATGTTGGTGCATAACGGTATATGTGCACTTGATTTCGAATGACAACAAATTAGTGGTAGTAGTACTGTATAATATAAGTTTATCATGTATGTGTGTCTGCTTGTATCAGTGCATGAGTAATTTTCCAATTTATATATGCTAGTGTGTGTGTGCTTGTATGTGTATTTTAGTGTGTGTGTTTATGTGTACAGTATGTATGTATGTGTAATGAGTGACATTCATAAATATGTATGTTACTAGATATTCTTAGGGGGAATTTTCTAAACACCACTTTCAATACAACTATTTAGCAGTTGACTGAATGACACAGACACATTAATAGATCAATATATCGAAGTTACTGGACACTGACTCTCGTACACAAACAGGAAATAGAAACACCTCCCACTTTAAGTAACTCACCCTAATGGATCGCTCCGACAATGACTCACGTGTGACCTGAGGGAGGCCCAGCGGCTGGGGGATGCGTGCAGGTGCTGAACTTTGTCTCCTGTCGGAAACTCTGATAGCTGGGGACCCAGTACTGGGGAGGAAAGTCCCCCTCCTAGCCTCGACTTGAGACAAGTATGACTTCTGTCTCCTGTCTCTGGGAAGGAGCTGTCAGCCCTTCCCTGTTACAATGATAATCCTAATGCTAATATTTTTCGGAAGGTTGTTGTTATTGTTGGTGGTGGTTCCGGCTGGAGCTCTTGGAGCAGCCAGACCGGATTTGGGATTGGAGGTTGTCCTATCTGCAGATATGAAAGGATACTGGGGTCGCACTTGCTGGGGGAGGATACTTCCTAAGCTATCTGGGTGGTGGGCAGTGGTGGGCACGGTTCCGCTAATCCGCTAACCGCCGGAGTGAATGGAATGTTTCGATTAATAACGTTTAATACTTTTTTTTTACAGTAAATAAAGACTGTCAGTGTATGTTGAAAGAATCATAGAATGTAATTGTAAACTAATGTATAATTTCATTTCTCATGTATTTGTTAATTTAATTAGGATTTTTTTTTGTGTCAATATATTTGGTTATGCTAAATACTGCGTAAGTTCATAACCAGGATGTCATCCAAGGTGTGCGCCAAACAAAATTTTCTAAAAATTTTCTTTTCATTAAAGTTTAGAGTTTTTTGTTTATTTACATGACTAAGACTAACAATAGGTTATATAAAAATGCACTGGTATAATGTGTATGTGGTTGGTATTGCATATTTACATGAATAATGAATAAGACCGATAGGTTGAATGAGAATGCAAATTAATTATTTGTGAAATTGTGTACAGAGTACACCTTGATAAGTTGATCATCATCTGATCTTGGCATGGTGCTATTTGCTACCTATGCTATACAGTACTATAGTTTTTGGATTCGTTTAATACTTTCTGTCTTTTCGTACAGTAAATAAAGATTATAAAGTGTATGTTGAAACTTGAATGTAAACTAATTTTTAATTTCATTTGTTCATTTAATTATTTGTGTACACCTTGATCATCATCTGATCTTGGCATGCTATACCTTTTTGGAAAGCTTTATGTCTAAGCTACAAGACAACATATGAAAAAATTTCAGCTCTCTAGGTCTGTTAGTGGTTAGCGTTAGCTTCTGCTAATTTTTTTAGCTGTTTAGAGGTTTAGCGTTAGCGAAGTTAACTTTTTAGTTAGCGGATTAGCGGTGAACGAAGCTAACTTTTCGTTTAGCTGTGCCCACCACTGGTGGTGGGTATCGTGTGATGACCGGAAAAGGTGGTGAATGTGGTTTGTTTGGGCCTTTCGGGTTAGAGTGGCCGCTGGTGTTGTGTGTGCTTCTTGGAAGTTTCGAATTCTGTTTCTGAGACTTTGTGTGACTTCGCAGTCGAGGAGATAGTGTTCCAGTGGGTTGGCTGCTGGCTCCTGACAGTAGGTGCATTCCCTGACGACATTTCCGATCATCTGCCAGGAGCACTTGTACCCTAGTCGTAGTCGATGAAGGCTAACTTGGGTTTGTCTTGGTATTTTCTTGCCCGTGAAAGGTGGTTCCCCTTTTGTAGCCACCAGGTACCATTTGGCTGATTGGGAACCAGCGTTGAATGCGTGAAGGAAGCTCTTTTGGATGTGGAGATTGGTAGTCTTTCTGAGGTGGTTCTTGATCTGTTGCACGCTTGCTGGAACTTGGATGTCTATGCTTCTAGAACGTGTGGCTGCCTTGGCTGCTTCGTCTGCCATGTCATTTCTCCCGATCCCTACATGACTGGGAATCCAGTGTAAGACGAGTGGGTGATTTTGTCCTGGGTGTGTCTGGTCAGGTGACAGGTGTATTGGCTGGAGGATAGCTTCTTGAGTAACACGGTCATGTCGCCGGGTTAAGCTAATCGCGTGGCAGAGAACTCTGGGTCATTGAGACCGTGACCCTCTTGGGTCAGGTCTGGACAGCTGTGTTTGCCCAGGTACGTGGTCATGTCGCCGGTCGGTAATGCTTCCTAATTATTACCACATGGGTGTGTCTTGGTCAGGTGAGTTTCTTGAGTAACACGGTCATAACGCCGAGCTAACTCAGGTACCTTGTGGCCGTCAGCTTTAATGGTTCAGGTCCTAATCTTACTGTAGGGTGTGTCAATCTATGTGGGTTACCACGTGGGCATCTACTTACTGTTATATGTGTTGTTCATCTGGGCTGTAAGCTGTGGTCTGATAAACAATCATTACATACAGTATGTGTTTGTGTGTGTGTGTGTGTGTGTGTGTGTGTGTGTGTGTTTTAGTGTGTATAACTTTGTGTGTATGTTTCAGTGTGTATACATTTGTGTGTTTTTAGTGTGTATATATTTATGTGCATGTTAGTCCAGGCATCCTCACCTACTCACATAATATTCATATTAATTCTCTCAATCATTATTCATCAATTCAGTATAGTTGTTCATTTTATCTATACATTCATTTCTTTACGTATCTACTTATATGCAAATGGGTAAAGATGAGAGTGAGAGGGCCAGGACAAGAGAAGGGGGAGGAAATATAAGTCTGGGAAGGTTTGATGAAAAGGAGTTAGAAAACACCAACCCCCTGGCATGAGAATAACACATTGATTGATTGATGTCAACAGAGGCAGAAGGCCAGCATGGAAGCGGAATTAGTGGAACGGGACGCCCTGAACAAGCATACCATTGAGGCACTGACGAAGGAGGTGGAGCGACTATCACATCAACTGTCCAGCACCGAGGAGAAGCTGCAACAGAGTCAGGTAGGAGATAGATGAACAGACACATATGGACAGACAGACTAACAGAGAGAGAGACAGACAAGCAGAGATAGACAGAAAAAACAATTACAGATAGACAGACAGGCAGAGACAGATATATATACAGACAGACAGACTGACAGAGAGAGAGACAGACAAGCAGAGACCGACAGAAAGGAATTTACAAATTGACAGACAGACAGAGACAGACAAAGAGACAAACAGAAATACAAGCAGACAGAATCAGATTGACAGACAGACAGACATGCAAATACAGACAGAGATAAAACAGACAAAGAATTAGAAAGAGAGACATACAGATAGGCAGAAAAAAGATAAACAGCCAGACAGATGCACAAGACAGAGAAAAACAGAGAAAATTGGCAGCTGTTAACAATTTACTAGGTTACAGTCACAAGGTTTTGTGATTTATCTACCTCTGTGTGTGTGTGTGTGTGTGTGTGTGTGTGTCTGTCTGTGTGTGTCTGTGTGTGTGAGTGTGTGTGTAGAATAATAGTGGGCAACGGAAAAGGCATAAGGATAGTATAAGGACAAACCTGAAAGAGTGCCAGTTCGCCCCCCTCACCTGGGAGACGATCACTCCACACCGTAACAATTGGAGGAGCACCACACGACAAGGTATCAATAATTTCGAGTTAGCCCGACTGCATACCGAGACAGACAAGCGCCAGCGCCGGAAAGACGCTACCGAAACCTCTCCCGCACTAGATGTAGCCCTCCACACGTGCAACATCTGTGGACGACCCTGTCTGTCCCGTATCGGCGTCTCGAGTCACCTTAGAGCTCACCAACGAAAGTGACATTCCTAATAACTTATAACATTATATTATAGCTCGATGATCGTCATACTCGATTTCGATTGGCAGCAAAGTAGAATAGTGTGGAGAATATATGGGAGAGGAGGATATCCCCCAAGATCGTAAAGACGCCTCCATTGTATGTATGTATATATATATATATATATATATATATATATATATATATATATATATATATATATATATATATATATATATATATATATATATATGTGTGTGTGTGTGTGTGTGTGTGTGTGTGTGTGTGTGCAAATCCACACCAGAAAAGAGAAACAATGGAACACCTTAGCTTTCGTCTTTATGCAAGACATCTTCAGAGGCAACTGAATTTTCAGAGACTGAGAGAGGCTTATATACAAAGGGTGACCTATATAACATAAGAACATAAGAACATAAGAATGGAGGAAACTGCAGCTGGCCTATTGGCCCAAACTGGGCAGTCCCGTTTACACCCAACCCCTATTGCTCATATGAGCATCCAACCTATGTTTGAAGCAATTCAGCGTATTCGAGTTAATGATGATATTTGGTAACTTGTTCCATTCATCCACTACTCTGTTTCCAAACCAGTATTTACCTATTTCACGCCTAAATCTAAATTTGTCTAATTTAAAGCCATTGTTACGAGTTCGCTCCTGGTTGGATAATTTGAGTACCTTTGTAATGTCCCCTTTGTTTAGCCCTGCCTTCCACTTATACACCTCTATCAGGTCGCCCCTCGCTCTACGTCTCTCAAGGGAGTGCAAATTAAGATGCTTTAACCTGTCTCTATACTCAAGGTTCCTAACATCAGGTCAAATCAATAAAATGGGATTCACTAATATAAACACCACCTCCACCGCATACGAAAAAAGAGCTTATAAAAAATGAGCGACGTAACAATTAATGCAAAGTCAGGTAAAAAACTTAAGACCCACTAATCATCTCTCCTACAGCTACCTCAAATGCTATCAAAGCATTTCTAACCTTGGGCCACTGACAAATAAATTTATGTAGCATATTATCAGCTTTGACCATCACTAAGGTTTATAGAATTCATTTCCCTAATCAGACTAGCTTCTATACTGTTTTTCCAATCCATGGGATGATTATTGTTCCTTATATGAACGAAAAGTACACTGCTTTCAGATGCTGTTCTAATATTATACTTGTGCTGTTGTATTCTAAGTTGCAATGTTTTCCCAGTATGGCCTACATAATTTTCATTACAATTGCTACATGGAATGCAGTAAACACTTCCATTTGCATTCAAGGTCGGGCTGTTATTATTTAACATACTAGTAATAGTTGAGGTAGTTAAAATATTCTTAAATGTAGGAACTTGTCTAGTATGAGTACAATAAAGGAGTTCTGGGGCTCTTTTAAGACAACGAAAGGCAAACATTGAAGGATACCCAAGTTTTTGTGCAATGGTCTGAATGTGTTGAGTTCTTCTTCAATAAATCCAGGGTCACAAATTCGCAAACATCTCAAAAACTTAGCAGAAAAAATGACATTTTGGTAGACTCATGGTGACTCAATAAAATATGTATGAAACTGTCTACATTGTGTAGGCTTTCTGTACACCTTAAATTTATAATTGTAACCATTTCTTATGATAAGCATATCAAGAAATGGAAGGGATCCGTTTGCATCTTTTTTTTCAATTTTGAAGGTAATACTAAGGACAAGATCATTAAGTTTGTCCAAAATTTACAGTGGATCCCCGTTTCTAGGCCATAGACAAAGAGCATCATCAACTTAGCTATACCATGGAGGAATAAAATCACCTATGTTGGGTAGTAATCTAGCTTAGAAAAAACATGTCAAATATTTGTTTGTAAAACTTTCCATTTGCCCTAAAAATATTGTCAGTGACTCAGTTCTATCAGTCTGAGAAATATGTCATGTTCAATTGTCAAATCTAACAGATATAATTCATCTTTTAGGAATGAAAGTAGGTCATTCACTGGTACTCGAGTGAAAAGTGAATGATATCAAAACTTATTAATTCACATGGTTCAATGTGTTTCATGAGTTTATCAATTAAATAATTGCTGTTATGTATATGCGAATTAGATATCTGGCCTGTAAGAGGGGATAGCATATTAACCAACCACTTGGATAATTTGTAAGTTACAGAACCCACAGAACTCACGATAGGGCGTAATAAATTATTAGGCTTATGTTGATCAATCCAAACATATGAGGTAAAGTGGGATTGATTTGTGAGAACTGTTTAATAGGATCTGGGTTCTTTTTTAATAACTCCTTCATTTTAGAGTTAGATAACTTTTTAATATTTTTCAAGGGATCTCTTCTAAGCTCACAATAACTGCTTTCATCACTTTGTAAGGAATTCATCTCATCATTAAAATCGTTTTTATCCAAAATTACAATAGCACTGTACTTATCAGCCTTAGTAATATGGATATTCTCATTACTTTTCAAGTTTTTCAAGGCTGTTAATTTTTTGTTTTATGTTTTAAACCATTTTCCTACGTAAAACGCTATGTATACAACCTTTCGCAATGGAAATATCTACATTTGTAACAACTATCGACTTATCCAGTTTGATTATATCTTTAGCAATAGGAAGTGGTTTAACGGTGAGCTGAGCAATAGAAAACGTTTTACCAAAACCAAGCACAAGTTTCTCATGTGTCTGTAACTCGTAAGATGATAAATTTATGTAGATCACCCTTTGTATACTGTATTAGCCTCTCTCAGTTCCTGTAAATTCAGTTGCCTCTGAAGATGCCTTGAATAAAGACGAAAGCTAAGGTGCTCCACTGTTTTCCTTTTCCTGTGTAGTTTTATCGAGATTTATCTTGTCCACGTTTCTAATGTGGATCTACATGATATATATATATATATATATATATATATATATATATATATATATATATATATATATATATATATATATATATATCCTCGATAATCGCATGGGTTAAGTTCCAGAAAACTACCGTGATAAGCAAAACCGTACATATCAAAACATAACATATGGGAAAAATGAGTTTCGTCCCACGACCCGAAAGATGCGTCCCCTAACTGACCAATATATACCCCTAAAAATGTATAGGTACTCTAAAAATATATTACGAGTAACATATCTTTACTACTTAATGAATAACAAATAAACAATTACAGTTCTGTATAATATTGTATATATCATGAATTACAGTCATAGTAGAATGAGAGGCAGAGTGTCGGTGAGACGCAGTGGGTGGGAGGGAGGAGGGAAGGTGGGTGGATATCGTGCAGTGGACATTGTGCTAATCTTCTCTGTCTTAAGGAAATCCATCACTGAAATTATGATTTAGATGGTGATAATAGAGGTAGTGGTGGAGTGGAGATGGAGGAGGGGGTGAATGTGGTAAGTGTTGAAGATGCATCGATCGGTTTGTTTGGTAAGACTGACTGCAGCACTGCCAGGCACAACTGAACAGCTGATGTCCACCCATTAAACTGAGTTTAAGTATAAATGACCAAGTTCGTATTCCATCCACATTCTTTACATAAATTTTAAATTATGGAGTGAGAAAGCAGAAAGGTGGGGCTCTTAAAGAGGTGGAATGGATGGAAGTGGTAAAATGCTTGGCTGGATCATGAATCTTAACACTACTCTTGTTCACAGGAGCCATAGTGGAGGGTAAGTAAAAGTTAGAAAAATTACACCAAAAACAAGCACGGAGCAGGAAACCGTCTTCAAACACCAACCAAACCAGAGCGGGGAAACAAATACTGTTGCTGGAAGCTGGCGCCATGAGCGGTGCAGCCATCTCTTGGCAGTCACTGCTACCACTGGTTCTCGCAGACCCGCCGCTGTCCTGTGATAATTCCGAGATAATCCAGATCAATCATTGATAAGCGTACACATGGTCGCAATCGAGGATACCGTGATAAGCCATATTAGCGATTATAGGGTCCCGTGATTATCGAGGATACATACATTTATAAGACCAAGGGAGACTGGTCAGACTGTGGCAACTGCTGCGGGATCTCGTTGCTGTCCATAGCTGGCAAGATTATAGCACGAGTTCTCCTAAAAAACTTTTTCCCAGAACCTCAATGTGGCTTTCGACCATCACGAGGCACCACTAACATGAGCTTTGCTGCCTACCAAATACCGAAAAATTACAGAGAACAGCGTCAAGAATTTGTACATGACCTTCATCAACCTGATTAAGGCCTTCGACTCGGTCAAAAGGGAAGCCCTCTGGCGGTACCAAAATTCATCACCATTGTGAAGCAACACTTTTCCATTTTCTTGGCTGCCTTCCTTACTCATGCCAGTGCCAATTTGGCCAGCGGGTGTACTTCCAATACCGGATGAAAGGACTTTTTAACATAAGTCGACTCCAGGCAGTAACAAAGTCATCGGTCCACTTCTATCACTGAGCTACAATATGCAGACGACCTCACCCTCGTCGCTCACACTGAACGTGACCTACAGAAGATTCTGACATCTGAACACCTACACAGATGCGTAAGCACCCTACGGCCTTGAGGTGAATGTACGTAAGACTCGGATTCTCTTTTAGCCTGCCCCTGGTTCAGCCACACCTCCACCAACCATCTTGGTTGATAGTACCACCTTTTCAAATATTACCCACTTCAAGTACCTTGGCTCCCACCTGTCCACAACCGAGGACATCAATGAAAAGATTCAACATCAGATTAGATGTGCATCTCAAGCCTTTGGCAGATTCCATATCCATGTCTTCAGCAGTAGTGACCTGGAATTATCTACAAAGCTGCAGGTATATCAATCAGTGGTCCTCCCCACCCTGCAGTACGGCAGTGAAACATGGGTAACATACGGGAAGCACCTCAAGGCACCTGAAAACTTTCACCAACGTAGTCAATGTTCCATCCTCCGAGTTCGCTGTAAAGACAAGAGAACACATGCCAGTATTCTCGCTGTCACCAACTGTAGGATCATCGCGGTTACCATTACCCATGAACAGCTACTTTGAACTGGCTATGTTACCTACATGGACGACAGTACCACATTTACAGTCACCTAATGAGTAGCAAAAGTAATGCTAGCAGCCAACTGAAAAGGTATAAGGATAGTCTTAAGACAAACCTGAAAAAATGACAAATCGACACCCTCTCCTGGGAGACGATCGCTCCACACTGTAACGCTTGGAGGCGCACCACACGGGATGGCGTCAATACTTTCGAGTTAGTCCGAATGCATTCCGAGGCAGACAAGCGCCAGCGCCGGAAAGACGCTACCACCGCCCCTCCCGCACTAAATGTAGCCCTCCACAAGTACAACAACTGTGAACAGCCCTGCCAGCACCGTATAGGCCTCTCGTGTCACCTCAGAATTCTCACCCAGAAAAGCTTAATAATACACAAACCTCAAAAACTATGCAGGGCAGTGTAACTCATATCACTGTATATTCGGTGGATGATCGTTATACTCATTTCCGGGTGACAGCAAAGTAGTAGTAGTAGTGTGTGTGTGTGTGTGTGTGTGTGTGTAATAATAATAATAATAATAATAATAAACGGTTTATTAATAGAGTTGCAGCAGGTGGCTGAAAATATACAGACTTACATTTGATTTAGACATAATGATATAATATGCATTGAATACATTTACAGGGCTGTACAGTACATAAATCAGGAGTGTGTGTGTGTGTGTGTGTGTGTGTGTGTGTGTGTGTGTGTGTGTGTGTGTGTGTGTGTGTGTGTGTGTGTGTGTGTGAGTGTGTGTGTGTGTGTGTGTGTGTGTGTGTGTGAGTGTGTGTGTGTGTGTCACTGTCCTTTTTCTGGTCCTTTTTATTGTAATTTACCTTAATTTCAGTGTTTGTGAGACCCATTTCCATCGTGTTTTGTGGCTTCCACTGTCATCTTGGTCTTGTTACATCAGGTTTTTTTTTTTTTTAGGGGAATAGCCCACCCGGTCACAGGTCATCGACCCACAACGGGGCCTTAGGGGCGATGAAATAAGAGTAAAAAGAAATTAAAAATAGAAAAGAAAAAGATTATATTAATCTACACCACGGCCTTGCCAGCGATACACAGGATGCCAAATCCACCGAACATTGCCCGTTAAAGTACCTGTAAAAGAGAGAGAGTGAAGCAACATTGCGGCGATGAGAAAAGGAAGAGAGATCACCAACTAAAAGAGGAGAGTTAATAAGAAATGCCTTTGATTCCACCCATTCTAACAGATGGACAGAAGAAGAGCCACCCCAGATATGAGAGCAATACTCCAAGTTAGGACGTATGAATCCCTTATAAACTTGAAACAACTGCTCAGGAGTAAAGTAGCTACGGCATCTGTACAGCATTCCCAGATTTTGGGAGGCAGCTTTAGCAATGTTGAGGATGTGTGGCATCCATGACATATTAGAAGAAATGGTGAGGCCTAGCATATCTATTTTATAATTTGGCAGAATGATAGCATCCTGAAATGTGATTGGTGGGAGATCATCTAATTTGGGAAGTGTGATTGGTAAATACTGAGTTTAATTACTGTTGAATTTAATCAAGTTCCACCTCCCCATTCAGAAATGCTGCACAGATCCGCCTTGATAGATGAAATGATATCACCGCTATAAACACATCTAGTTTGAGAATTAGGGGGAAGGGAAAATGTGAAGAAGAGTGAAGAGTAGAATCATCAGCGTAAGAATGGATAGACTTAGTCGTAGTGTGATGTAAATCATTGATAAAAAGAAGAAAGAGAGTAGGTGAAAGAACAGAACCCTGTGGGACGCCACTATTGGTGGAGAAAGAGCGACAGATCGATCCCTCGACAACAACTGCCATGGATCGGTTCTCAAGGAAGTTAGAAATTAGAGAACAAAGTAGGGGAGATAAATCACAAGAGGGAAGTTTAGAAAGCAAAGACTTGTGCCATACCCTGTCACGTGTTTTGGAGATGTCGAGGGCCACGACAAAAGTTTCCCCATAATCCCTAAGAGAGGATGACCAAAGATGGGTGCTGTAGGAGAGCAGATCAACAGTAGATCTCGCCTGGCGAAAGCCATACTGGTGATCCAAGAAGAGAGAATGGCGTTCAAGGTGACGTAGAAAATGAGAGTTTAAGATAGTTTCGAAAATCTTAGAGAGGGATAAAGTTAGGACAATAGGGCGATAGTTAGAGGGATTGGAAACGTCACCCTTCTTCGGGATGGGCTGAACCGAGGCATGCTTCCAAGAAGAAAGAAAAGTTTGGGTTTTGAGGCAGAGGCGAAAGAGGTGAGCAAGCACAGGGGCTAGAATTTCAGCACACTCCCTCAGAATATGAGGGGGTATTCCGTCCGGCCCATGCGCCTTACTCACATCCAACCTGGATAACACACTTTCTTGTAATCTCGACACGAGTGGAGATTATAGGAAAGTGCATAGGTTCAGTAGGAGATGCAGGGGTAGGAGGGATAGAGTGGGAATCGTCTAAGGTGGAGTTAGAGGAGAATAAGTTGCCAAAGAGATTGGCTTTATCAGGGGAGAGTTGGCTATAGAGTTATCAGGTCGGAAGAGAGAAGGAAAAGAGGGAGTGCAGAAGTTATTGCAGATGTGTTTGGTTAATGACCAGAAGGATTTACTAGAAGAAGAGTTAGTCAGGACAGCGGTCTTTCTTTTTTATAAAATTCCGCTCTGCCCTACAAAGAATAATAGCCTTACAACGATTCCTAGAAGTAATGAAAAAATAGTGGGTAATAAGAAAAGGAGATAGTTCATAACTTGATTCGCCCTATCTCTCTTCTAACGCGCAAGAGAACAGGAGCGATCAAACCATGATTGTAAAGTGAAAGATTTTGTAAAAGAAGGGATAAATGCACTCATACCACCCTGTATTACCCCAGCAATACTGTCAGCACATACCGAGGCGTCCCGAGAGGAAAAGCATCATTTATCCCAAGGAAAGTCGGAGAAGAATTCTCGCAATGATTGCCAGTTTGCCCTCCGATAGTGCCATAGTTGACGGTTAGATGGAGGTGGGGGAGGTGGTCGTGCCTAGTTCGATTTAGTAGAAATAAGATTGTGATCAGGAGACCCCAAGGGGCAGAAATTGAGTATGAATAGTGTGAGGGGTTAGAGGTAAAGCGAAGATCAAGAATGTTAGTAAGTTGATCGTGTTTATCAGGAACGCGTGTAGGGTGTTTAATTTATTTGTTCCAGATCATTAAGTAAGGAAAAAATAGCATGCCTCAGCTCCACCTTGGTTATCTCTTGCAGAGCCAAGCCATTCTCTGTGATGTACATTGAAATCCCCTAGGTAGAAGTGAGATAGTCAAAGAGTTCTAAATAGTTGTTAGAGTTGGACGAACAGTATAGGAAACAAAGAAAAATAGTCATAGTTGGTAGAAATATTTTGAGCCAGATGACATCATAAAGGGAAGATTCAAGATCCGTGAGTCGAGCTATAGGTGTACGTGTGTTGCAGTAGGCGCATACACCTCCCTTAGAACGGAAAGAGTTGTAAAGGTTGTAGTTAGAGACTTGAAAAGGTTTGGGTGAAGCTGCTTTGGTCAGTTGAAGTTCAGATAGTAGTAAGAGGTCGGGGGAAGAGGTTAATAGATGGTGCGTCACAGGAGGAAAATTGGATCTCAGGCCGCGAATGTTGGAGAAATGAAGTGTGAAAAAAGCCGATCCTCCAGCAACCGTGGTGACGTCAGTTGAGGCCCCAGTAGTTTGATGATGATCAGGTCGGCCCTGGGGTCCAAACCCTTCCTGACCAGTGGGACCCATCCGAGAAGGCCCCGTTTCAATATTATTGTCAACTGACTTCATAGGAGGATAAAAGAATAGAAAGAGTAGAACAGATCAAGAGTGAGTACGGTTATATATGTTGTATTGTAAATAGTAAGAGAGACAACTGAGACCCTGCAATCGTGTGTAAATGTGGCAGAAAATCGGCTCAGCAACCTGGGACTTGGTCACAATTTTCGTGGTGCCATATGGCAGCAGGGTCTACCATCAGACAAAACATACGTTATTGTTGTATCTATTAATTCTATTTTATTTAGTTAGTTCAACATTATTGTTCTTTTTGTTCTCTTTGTTTTATTTGTATTTTTTTTTACTTTGGTATTTCTTTTTATGTATTCCTGGTCGCCTTGGCAGGAGGCAATTGTCAGCGTAGCACAACAAGACACCTCTGCTGCCTCCAAGATTGAGTCCCTCACGACGGAAGTGGAGCACCTAACCTATATGCTGAACGACGCGGGAGAGAAGGCCATTAGAGCCCAGGTAAGACGCACACACACACACACACACACACACACACTCACACACACACACACACACACACAATTTGAGAAATATGTCATGTGCAATAATCAAATTTAACAGATGCAATTTATCTTTAAGGAATGAAAGTAGGTCATTCACTGGTTCCCTGGTGAAAAGTGAATTGACATCAAGACATTAACTTTCATGGTTCATTGTGTTTCTTGAGTTTATCAATTAAATCAATGCTTTTACGTATATGCGAATTAGATATGTGGCCTGTAGGGGGATATCATCTTAACCAACCGCTTGGATAATTTGTAAGTAACAGAACCCACAGAACTCATTACATCCTATCGTGATATATGGCTAGATAGATAGATGGATAGATAGTTTACTCCTGAAGAGAGTTTCAAAATACAGGTGTCATTTATTTTCGATGCGCTTGTGTCATAGGAAAGTGCTTTATATGTCTACTTATATTTAAATTTGTGTAATGTCTATGGACCCAGCTTTCACTGTGGGGATTTTCCTATGTCATTATGTCATCCTTCTGACCACGTGTTACCGCATGATGAGCCCAGATAGGGTGTGGTCAGTATTTCATCATCCACCGAAAGTCATAGGTGTGGTCGTGACCCATCTAGGGGTGCAGGTGTGATATGTTCCAGTAGCTCCTCGCACTTGAGTTGCCAGGTACCAGTTTTGGCTATACCCCTGTGCAAGTTCTTATTGTATAACATTTATTGTTTAACTCATATTAATTACCTACTGGTCGCTCATACATATTCTTATTCTTCTCCCATTATAACTTGCCTCAAACCTTGTGTTGTAATTAATGTAACTTTGTGAATTAAATGACATTCATCTGTGCATGTATCGATGGGCGGAGGTTACTGAGCAGGTTATGTCGGCCATCTCTTATGATCCATGGAGGTCTGTTTCACACTAGCCTTACTGGAGGGGAAGAGGTTTCTGCCACTCCTCCTCCCTTGTCTTCTCCAATGCTTACATAAGGGTAGATGTTTGTCTGCTTCTCTTTCCTGTTCTGAGCCACCATGTGGCTAAGGTTTGTGAAAGCTAGGGAATGTTAGGTGGGAGTCATTGGTGCACATGCTGAGCTCCCAATTAGTTAGGATGTGCTTTTATATTATGTCTTGTACCCTTTATTTGTAAATATATGCAATTAAAGTAGATTTACCTAGGTGTTTCTGTTGATCCTTTTAGCCCAGAATTTTATTCATCAGCCATGACTGAGTTTTGGGAGCATCTAAAGAGAATTTCATGAAGCCTAACCTACTTAAAGCTAACCATAACACTATATCACTGTTGTCCAGCCCTGTGTCTTATGGGATAAGCTTGGACGAGACATCGGGTTGTGATAGACAAATATATCTGGATGGTCTGATGTATTATTGGAACCCCAGGAATAAGAATTACTGTATATTTTCATAAGCACTCTTAGTTAATGGAGATTTTATTACAATGCTATTATTTTTTTCACAGGAAAAACTGGAGCAGAAAATAGCAGCACTGAAAAAAGAGAATGAACTTCAAAAAAATACTGTCACTGTGTTGACTGAGAGGTTGGGAGAAGCTGAGGAAAATGATTTCAGCCTCCAAGTAAGTTGACATTTATGACACTCTGAGAGAGATGAGGAAAGTGTTAGTCGGCTGAGAGGTAAGTTAAGCTCTCCTTCTTAAGCTGGTGTAAGAGATGCCTCAGTAGCCAAGAACTACCGCCCAATCAGTCTAACACCAATAGTAGGCAAATTACTGGAAGCAATCATTTCAAACTCTATTCGAAATCACCTGGAGAAGCACCGATTGATCAATGATTCCCAGCATGGCTTCACAAGCGGACGTTCTTGCCTAACTAATCTATTAACATTCTTTTCATCAGTTTTCGAATCGGTAGACGAGGGGCACAATTATGATGTGGTATATCTCGACTTTAGCAAAGCCTTCGACAGAGTCCCCCACGAAAGACTAATTAGAAAGGTAGAAGCACATGGCATCAAAGGTAATATCCTTAAATGGATTAGGGCATGGTTACAGGACAGGAAACAGGGAGTGAGCATTAATGGCACTAAGTCCCATTGGAGCAACGTCACAAGTGGAGTTCCCCTAGGCTCAGTACTTGGACCATTATTATTTATATATACATAAACGACATAGATATCGGCATAGACAGCAACATAAGCAATTTGCTGATGACACTAAAATAGGGCGTGTTATTAAATCTGACGAGGACTCCGCAAAACTACAGGAAGATCTAAAAAAAAATTTCGAATGGTTTGAAAAATGGCAGATGAAATTCAACGTGGACAAATGAAAAGTACTCAGTATAGGAGATGTAAACAGGGAAACCAGATACCAGATGAACAACGATGCCATAGAGAAATCCGACTGCGAGAGAGATTTAGGAGTAATGATAAGTAGGAACCTTAAGCCAAGTAAACAATGTGTTTTTGCTCGTAACAAGGCTAATAAAGTACTTGGGTTCATACAAAGGAGTGTTAGTTATAAGACTAGCGAGGTCATCCTAAAACTGTATCTTGCTCTTGTGAGACCACACCTGGATTACGCAGTTCAGTTCTGGTCACCGTATTGCAGAATGGATATAGAATCCTTGGAAAGAATTCAGAGGAGAATGACAAGACTAATCCCGGGCATTAGGAACCTTGAGTATAGAGACAGGTTAAAGCATCTTAATTTGCACTCCCTCGAGAGACGTAGAGCGAGGGGCGACCTGATAGAGGTGTATAAGTGGAAGGCAGGGCTAAGCAAAGGGGACATTACAAAGGTACTCAAACTATCCAACCAGGAGCCAACTCATAACAATGGTTTTAAATTAGACAAATTTAGATTTAGGCGTGGAATAGGTAAACACTGGTTTGGAAACAGAGTAGTGGATGAATGGAACAAGTTACCAAATATCATCATTAACTCGAATACGCTGAATAGCTTCAAACATAGGTTGGATGCTCATATGAGCAATAGGGGTTGGGTGTAAACGGGACTGCCTAGCATGGGCCAATAGGCCAGCTGCAGTTTCCTCCATTCTTATGTTCTTAAGGTTAAGCTTTCTGGTTAGCTGAGAGAAGTTGACGGGAAAGATTATGGCATCTAGAGAAGCTAAGCTCTTTTCAATCGTAGTAAATAAAACTTTCTCTTTAAGTGAGAAAAACTGAAGAAAATGCTCTCAGATTGCAGGTAAGTCATGCTACCTGACAGTTCCTGTGTTCTATTTATTATCACTGTATCGCATTGTAAACAAAAAAGAATATTGCCCCAAAATTAAGCACCCTAGATTATTTATCATTATGAATAAATACCATGATGTTAACCTTACCTAACCCCGGTAGTGTTCGGGTGTTTAATCATATGAAATAAACTAGGGTGTTTAATCATCAGATGATCCAAAAAAAGCTGTATTCATGTCATTCCTCTGTCAGTGAAAATTACCTTCGTGTCACGCTGTCAGTTTACCATTGCATTTTGTACAGCAGTTGCAGGAGGAGAAGCTGGTACAACTGAACCAACTGGTGGAGCAAGATAAAGACAACCAGCTGACCATCACCTCCCTCAACACTAAGATACAAACGTTGGTGGAGCAGAATAACTCCAACGACTCGATGATCAACTCTCTCAATGCCAAGATACAGGAGTGGGAAGACCAAGACAATGCCAGCCAACTCACCATCGCCTCCCTGAACGCTAAGGTGCAACAGCTGACTCACTCAATCAACGACCAGGACCACAAGACCCTCGCCTACCATGTAAGTCAAACTGGTAATATATTCTAGCCATCATTTCTTAAGGTATATTAGGGGATTCTTATTTTGTGGTCTTTTAGGATGATGGCCTATTCGCAATGGGACCTTTTACCACCACTGGGGGTCAATTAGGACTAAGGTCTATTGGAAGAAGGGCCCACAAGAACTCAGCCGATTAGGAAAGAGGTTTATTGGGACTGAAACCTACTAGGACTTTGGACCTATTAAATTATCAGTAGGGCCCCAAATAACCTACAATCTCTGTACGCCCGACAGAAACAGCAACATGCCAAGATAGAGGAACTGACAGAGAAGGATGAATCTTACCAGAAGACCATCTCAGCCCTCACCAGGAATGTTGACCAGCTGTCCCTCAAGCTGAAAGAGAACCAGGAAAATCTCGTGTGGTATCAGGTATGTCAAGGGGTGAACTCGAGGTACAGTACCAAATCAAAATGATGTGAAGAATGTGTGAAAAGTTACGAACAAAAGAAGGTATAAGTGGTAAAATGTGGGGTTACATGATGAAATATAAAGGGAATATATATGAATGAATTATAAATGTGCTTACCTCCCAGGGAATGGTAAATGTAAGGAGAAGAGAGAAAAGGTTTTGGAAGACCTGATAGATTCAATTTGAAAGAATGATAGGAATAGGGGAATTTGACAAATAACTTTGCTACGTAAGTAAGGTGAGGATTGCACCCATACCATCCCCACTCAGAACCAGCAGAGAGAGAGAATTCTAATCACCTTAACTTTTCCACATAGACAATAAACTAAACCATTACCATCCACAGAGTCAACTACAAGAGGTCGGTGATCGAGAAGCAAAGGCCCAGAACACCATCGCTGGGCTGAGGGGGGAGGCGGACACCCTCAACCAGAGGCTGGAGGAAGTACAACATTCCAAGACGCCCCTCACCCAGGTGAGTGCACACAGACAGACACACAGGTAGAGAACTAATTGCTCTGTAGTATTTAAAGTCTTTTTCGGTTCCTTGGTTGAAGAGAAGTATAACAGCAGCATTACTCCAGCTGTCTCTCAATTGTCTTCATTTAATGCATTTTCTTAATAACTTTTCATGATTAAAATTAATTTTTCTCCTTTGATAATATAAACTGATATTCTATCTTCTGGTTCTTTCTCATTCTTCATGTTACTGGTAGTAGGTAGCGAGTGTTGTGGGAAACCTGTACTTAATACTCTTTTTTGCCCTCTGACAGTCACATTCTAATTTCTAATACTTTTTTCTTGCCGTGACTTTTGTACATCACACACTGCAACACCAGCTTCGCAAAATAGGTTTGTACAGACAGACCATAGATTACTTTTACCCCTTCGTTGTGGAACAATCGGACAACTCTTTGAATAATTCTGTACAAAGCTCTTGCATCTGGGTTCACATTGGTAGCCCTATTTTCCTTATACTGGAATATGTGGAGCCACCAGTCATAATGCAATTTCCCTTTCTGTGTAATTGTTGAGCTGTTGAATTATTAGTTTGAGGAACTTGTATTTCAATGAATGTTTATTATTATATTGTAGGGTTTCGTGATATTATGTTGTCTAGCACTCAGGATGGATGGAAACTCTAAGGTAGTGGTTTTCTTATATAATATAAGTTATATGGTAGACAGTCTGGTGCTGGAGGTGCCGTGTGGTGAGGAGCTGCTCAGTAGACACGTTCGGTGAGTAGCGTGTTGAAGGAGGTAGATGTGCAGGAGCTTCGTTAGAGAAGATGTTGCCTGTTGCTGGCCTCCAGGTTGAATGAAAGCGGGACAGCGAGGAGCTTGCTTGGAGGAGGTGTTGCGTGTTCAGGAACGTAGAGTAGAATAAGAGAGCTGGTTGGTGAGGACGCTCAGAGAAGGACAGCTGGTGGGTCGCCATGCTCGCCGGCGGGAGGGAGGACCGCCAGGCAGCGGCAGAGGAGGAGGTGTTGCGTGTTCAGGAACCGAGGCCAGAATGAATCTCAATGGAGAGACAGAGCTTATATGCACAGCCGCCGGAAGTAAACCGTGGGAAGTCGCCGGTTTCTTGACTCCGTTGCTAGGGAAGACGTGGCTGGTTGCTAGGATACTGTGGCATCTGGTGACGCCCCCCCCCCTGGGCCGCTCGTTTGGTTGCTAGGGAAGACGTAGCAGGTGGCTGGTTGCTAGGATACTGTGGCATTGGAATGCTGCTACGCAGTTGTAGGGGAGACGTCCACTACAATATCGCCATTGTCAATGTTTTCTCATTTTGAGTGTTGGTCACATTATTAGACAATAAATATCATATTCCCAGTGAGGGATTAATTAAATAACATTAAATATTGGTGCGATTATAGTGACTTGGAATGATAATAATTGAAAAGACATTTCAGGAGCTGATGACAATAGTGTGCATCTTTAGTTGACAAGCAGTTTTAAAAACTTACTTTTAATACATTTGAAAATGAAAATCGATGAAACAAAAAAATACAAATATTTTTTTTCTTTTGATAACTCTCCATTCATTTCTTAGACTGGAAGAAAATATGCAAACAAATTTTATTTAACTGATCTTTCGTATAAGCTCCTCCAGCCATGATGACTTTGGTTTGTCGTCATTGGTGCCTGTGTCTTCGTAACGCCTAATTCACAGAGTTATCGTGGGCTTAGACACACCTACCAGCCTAACAACTTCACAATTGCTGATGCAAGGCTATGGGGAGTATTTACAGCTGCTCTGGTTGTTTGGAAAGTCTGCATAGTGAGTGGCCAGGTTATGACAGGCGTTTCCGTCATCGACTCTGTTATTGTACGTTTGCATAACAAAATTTAGTACAGACAAGCTTCACTCCTGATAATTTTACGATAAATTGACCTTTTGAAAAAATCCAATTCTGCTAACTTATATAAGTGGAAGTTTCCCTGTTTAGAAAAACAAGGATTAAGGAAATGAAGTAGCAATACGCTCACCAACCCCAATGAGAAGTCAGGAGAGATAGTGTTCATTTTGAAATCCATTGTATCCAGGGGTAAATGCAATTTTTGTTCTGACTCTGCACTTCACAGTGTGCACTGTTACCCCCACACACACCACCGAAACACAAGAATTACTCTGCATTCGGTCTACCTCAGCAACGAACACAGTACACATTATCTTGCATCATGTATTGAAGCATCATTTTAATACCAGGGTATTCAATCACCACACAGTATGAGCGGGGTGGTACAGTGGTCGCCCTGCAGAAGAGAGAGGCAGCCAACAAGCAGACTATCAAAGCCCTAGAAAACAGACTTCAACACTTAACTCAGAAGATGACAGACAGCGAGCAAGCTTCTCTCCGTGTCCAGGTAGGTCCAGGAGGCCTCCCTCATTGAAAAAGTCCACTTGAATTTTTTCTGTGTTCATGAAGACAGCCCCTGAAGGTCCCCTTAGTTTCCAGGTTCCTCTCGACAACCTTTGTTTCCTGTTTGAGTAGGTCCAGATACTTACATTAGTGCCCAGGTATATACGTAAGGCTTCTCTTCGTATTCATATATATGTCTGGAAAGCATTCATTAACATCCTGGTAATTCTAGAATTTCTCCTTTCATGGTCAGACAAGAATATGCTTGGCCTATTTTTGTATGTAGGAAGGTCTTAATGTCTGGGAAACGTAAAGTAATGTTCAACTGGTCTGAAAATCCTTTGTTGATATACAAGTACATCTGGAATTTCCTGATATTTAATCAGATAGGTATGGAAAACATTTAAATGTCCAAGGACAGTACTCTAAGTCATAAAGGATCCTTCCTGTAGTCGTTGTAGCTGTGGACGGTCCTCCTAGATGTTTGTTCAATATAAGTTTCACATGAGTATCATACTGTAAGTTTTCCTTTGTGTTCGGGAAGGTCTGGACAGAAACTTTATTTGGTGCATTCAAGAAAGTGTTATGTTGATATTAATACATAAATGAATCTAAATGATTCTTGTCCAGTTCTTTGTGTGTGTCTGTGTGTGTGTTGCCATTGTTGAAAATTAAGGGAAAGTCACTTTACAGAGAGAGCAATTGGAGACGATCGCTTCCCTCAAGACACAAATGGATCAGCTGAGACAATATGGCACTGGTTCACCCAACTTACTACAGGTCAGTCTTACTTCTGCTTAAGACCCTCGCCTGTGTGGTAGCATCCTGGGTGTTGCTACCTGTCTATATGCTTTTCCTGGTGACTAGCCAAGTGGACTCTAATCCTAGTTGGCCTCAGTCTTTATGGGTTTTACTCTAACTTAACCTCATTAACAATTAAAATTAAGGCCCAGTTTTAGGGACCACACCTCTGATGGCTAGGTGAGGTTAGGTTAGGGTTCAATGAGGCTGGGGTAAATATTACCAGGAACCTCTACATATGTCCTTGACTGTCTGTTTTCACACCAATTAATGCAATATTTATTTCATTACCTGCAGCACCTAGGGGGTGTGTGTGTGTGTGTGTGTGTGTGTGTGTGTGTGTGTGTGTGTCTCTTCCATGCCTTAACACTTGGCTAATTGGAAGAAAACTTTTACTATTCAGCCAGTCTAAGCCTGGACTAGTGTGTTGTCACGTTCTTACTATCTTACAGTGTCATCATTTTCTTATAGTAAATTGAAGTGGAGCAAATCAGGTAAGTATTAATTTAAGAGTCAGCAACCATAACGAAATATGTTCAAGTAAAGCATCATTTTGTTCCATACAATGTTTCGTAAGTTGTCGGTTCATAGATGTAAGATGGTAATAGTAAGAGTTTTTTCTTGTATTGTATGTCAAAAACAGATCATTATATATACCGGTATAAGGCACACCTATGACGCATATGGATACACACACAGGCAGGGGTGCATCCAGGGAGGGGGGGGGGTTTCCTGGGATACGGACCCCTCTTTTCATCAGAAAATGTAAATACTTTTTCTTTAATGCAGTAAAGTACTCAGGCGTTTTTGTAAAGCAAAAAGTAATTATTATTGACTTGAGAATATCTCCTAATATCAAGTGCACATGGATTCAAAATGACCTTAAAATGCCCATAATATTGATCAGATTAAAAAAAAAAATCTGGGGGGGCTTGCCCCCCCACCCCCACCCCTCCCCTCCCTCCCTTCCCCAAACTCCTCATCTGGGTGGGCTCGTTGTGCTCGCCATATTCCCCCACCCACAACTTCTTGGACCCCCCCTTTAATATTCCTGGATCCGTCCCTGCCAGACAGACATTCACATATACATAAACACACATACAAATACATTTTAGCTGGATAAACCTCATAGAAGTCATTTCCAGTCAAATCAATGAACAGTGCGACATCCTGGTAACACACTCGTCAATCACTAATTTTTGAAGCAACGAAAGAAATCTTCTAGTAAACTATTTGATTGATACATATATACCCAAGACCAAACCCACTGGCTTCTGGGATACAAGGACACCGTAACCCATGAACCACGCGGCGGTTGACAACGCTAAAAAGAAATCTAAGAAATTCAAGAGATGGGTCTCGACAAAGGATGAGCAGCACGACGGAAGTATGTATGCCGGGTCCAGGAACCAAGTAAAGTCGTAGTGTAGAAAGGCTGAAAAAATTCAGTGGCGGACTGCAAACAAGGTCAAATCAAACCAAAAGGCTTCCACTCTTAGGGATTATGGGGAAACTTTCGTCATGACCCTCGACATCTCTAAAGCATTTGACAGAGTATGGCACAGTCTTTGCTTTCTAAACTTCCCTCTTATGAGTTTTCTCTCTCACTTTTTTCTCTAATTTCTAGCTTCCTTGAGAACCGATCCGTAGCAGTTGTGGTCGAGGGATCGATCACTCGCTCTTTCTCTGCCAATAGTGATGTCCCACAGGGTTCTGTTCTTTCACCTACTCTCTTCCTTCTTTTTATCAATGATTTACTGAACACTACGACAAATTCTATCCATTCTTACGCTGATGATTCTACTCTTCACTCTTCTTCACATTTTCCCTTCCCCCTAATTTTCAAACTAGATCTGTTTCTAGTGCTGATATCATTTCATCTATCATTGCGGATCTGTGCAGCATCTCCGAATGGGGAGGTATAAACTTGGTTAAATTCAATAGTAATAAAACACAGTATTTACCAATTACACTTTCCAAAATATAACATCTCCCACCAATCACATTTCAGGATTCACTCCTTCTGCCAAATTCTAAAATAGATATGATACACCTCACCATTTCCTCTAATATGTCATGAAAGCCACACTTCTACAACATTGCTAAAGCTGCCTCCCGAAAGCTGGGAATGCTGTACAGATGCCGTAGGTACTTCACTCCTGAACAGTTCCTTCAAATTTATAAGGGATTCATTTGTCCTAACTTGGAGTATTGCTCTCATATCTGGGGAGGCTCTTCTTTTGTCCAACTGTTAGATAGGGTGGAATCAAAGGTATTTCGTCTTATTAACTCTCTTCCTTTAGTTGACACTCTTTCTTCCCTTTCTCTTTTCCGCAATGATGCTTCACTCTCTCTCTATTTAAAGGTACTTTAACGGCCAATGTTCGGTGGATTTGGTATCCTGTGTACCGCCGACAAGGCCGTGGTTCGTGACACTCGTCTTCCCCGCGGTGCCCACCGTTTCAGTGTGGATGTCGGTCACGCTAGAATAACCCGTTATAGTTTATCCTTCTTTCTTCACACAGCCAAACTGTGGAATTCTCTGCCTTCTTTTGTGCTTCCATACTCTTACAATCTGTCTCACTTCAAAAAGTTGGTCTTCTGGTATCTTCGGTGTAGATTAATATTGTGTTTTTCTCTTATATTTTTTTTTTTTTTTCGTCCTCCAGGCCCGGTTGTGGGTGGAGGACTTGTGCCCGGGTGGGCTATTCCCCGTTAAACAAGTTATTTTCCTCGGTGTTTACAGGAGTGGACGCGAACAATCTCCTTGTGTTTCAGGAAAGACGGTTCAACGTAGCATTGACACACATTATGTTCTCAGAAGAGTGTATTAGGAACAAGTTGTTAAAGTTAAAGGTTCATAAGAGCCCTGACTCTGACAGTTTTTAGTTTAGCAAATTTATTGGCAAAGTGTAGGGTGCGATTTGCCTATTCTGAGTAGTTCAGCTAGGTCTTGACACTTTGAAACTGAGGGTGCTATCACGGTTCATTACCATGGAGAACAGTGGTTCATATGTATAGGAGATAATAGTATAGGTCTTATTCATTAATGTTATATTCTATTTGAGGACTAATAAGTGTGAACTGGCAAATTTGCGATAGACTGCAAGAATATCTCAAGCACTCATGATTCAATGTATTAATTACCTAGTTCATGATACAATAAGTCAGGTTTCCTGAAGTCAAAATTTTAAAGTGTCCCATTCTATAATATAATGTTCAAGTGTATACTTTAAAGGTTTATCATAAAGTTTACATGCTGAGTGTTCCGGTATGGGTACAGCGTCACTAACTTGCCAGATGAGTCTGTATCCTAGCCTAATTCTGACTACGACTACATCACATTGTCTGGTTTTGTCTCTGTGATGCCCATACCGGTACTTATAGTTGCCAAAAAAAATCATATTTACCGTCAGGCCTCTGTACATTTCTCAGTTTTTCTAGATCAGACTTCATGATTTAGACGTGTATGTTTTGAAGTACAGCATTGGACAGGTCAAAGTCCGAATCTACATTTTTTTCTTACGTGCCTCATTAAAAGCCATGATATCATACTGTATATTAATACGAGATAGAAAGTGCCTTTGCCGATGATTATTATCTTTACCATCGTGACATAATCCTGACCTAGATTGTTATATTGTCACACTAACATGATCCTGCTGTATTGCCTTCACTCACTTACCATATACTGAAATAATAAAAACATAATAAATAAAATTAAATATCAAAATTAATAAAAGATACGTGATAATATGGCAGCATTTTACTATGTTTTTACATTTTGTAATCACGATCATACTAAATAATATATAATAATTTCCTCGTGATATTGTACAGTATTTTTCAGGTTTCAATATTTTTTTTTTTATTGTTCGCTTCATATACACAATGTATTGGCCAAATTAAGGGATTCAATTTAAATTTCACACACACACACACACACACACACACACACACACACACACACACACACATGCATACGTAATACGTATATCCCCCACTGCCATTCTCCCCACTCCCTATGACAGTTTGGACACTTCTCTCTGATGCCTTTCAAATATTTATATAAAATCACCGGCTGATCATATCTAATTCAGAATTTAGTCAGTAAGTTAATTAATTTGTAATAATGGGATATCACTGCCCCCATTCATTATTTACCCTACTTCCTTGGTGACCCAGCTCCGGGCATATTCCCCTCTTGAGCAATAGCTGGTATGATGATTGATTATTTTCCTCTATTGACAGAAACAACAAGAGGAGATAATCCAGAAACAGAAGGAGGAGAGCCTGAAGAAAGACCTTATTGTAGAGACGCTCAACAAAAAGGTCGAACATTATTCAGCTGAACTCCAGAAAAATTATGCAAATTTCAGCAGTTGGCAAGTAAGTTTTCTGTCAGTATTTCTTGCTTATTTCTCCTCCTTTTCTTTGCAGAAAATAGTAGTTTATAATTTATTGTCTCTTTCGGTGAATATGAAACTAATTCCCATATGATTGAGAGTCCATAGGGGACAATACAGATACAACACACTGATTACTAAACTTCCGGTAGACAAGGAAGCAGTATGGCTGGCACTGCACTCAACTGTTATTATCAATTCCCAACTATAAAGACAGGTGCCTGTTCCCAGCTGACTGGACTGGAGTTGCCCCAGGTGTTAAACAGTGACCCTTAGGACAGGACACAGCTTTCTCCAACACTTGGCTCTCCTCTCATACTTCAAGCTTTTAAATCTATCTTATCTTCCCGGGCACACTTAGCAGTTATCTTTCGTCATACTTACTTATTCCTTCCTTGCTTTTACCCTGTAAGATAAACCAAATATATACCTATACTAATGTCCTATATATGTGCGAACAGGCTCAGCAGCAGGAAAAGGACAATGAGATGCAACAGCATGAAGCAGAGAGTCAACAGACCATCAATAAACTGAGACAGCAGTTGAACCAACTCACACACCAGCGGGCCAATGGTCAGGTAGGTGACCTAGGAAAGACACTTGTCAGGTGTGTCACCCAGGTGTCAAATGGATCACCCAGGGATTCTATAGGTTACCCAGAGGCCAAGTAGATCACCCAGGGGCCAGGTAGGTCACCCATGGGCCATTGGGCCAGATATGCCACCCAGAAGTTAGGTACAGTTACCCAGGGGCGACATAGGCCACCCAGGCTTTGGGTAGGCAATAGGCACCAACAAGTTAGGTACGCCACCCAGGTGTACATAGGCCACCCAGGTGTTAGGAAGGCACCAACGTGTCAGATAGGCACCCAGGTGTTAGGTCACCCAGGTGTTAGGTAGTGTAGGCACCCACAGGTGTTAGGTAGGCACCTGGGTGTTAGGTAGGCACCCAGGTGTTAGGTAGGCACCCAAGTGTAAGGTAGGTACCCAGGTGTTGGGTAGGCACCCAGGTGTTGGGTAGGCACCCAAGTGAGGTAGGCACCTAGGTGTTAGGTAGGCACCCAGGTGTAAAGTACCAGGTGTTAGGTAGGCACCCAGGTGTTAGCTTGGCACCCAAGCATTAGGTAGGAACCCAGGGGTTAGGTACCAGGTGTTAAGTAGGCACCCAGGTGTTAGGTAGGCACCCAGGTGTAAGGTAGGCACCCAGGTGTTAGGTAGGCACCTGGGTGTTAGGTAGGCACCCAGGTGTTAGGTAGGTACCCAGGTGTTGGGTAGGCACCCAGGTGTTTGATAGGCACCCAGGTGTTACATAGGCACCCAAGTGTTAGGTAGGCACCTGGGTGTTAGGTAGGTACCCAGGTGTTGGGTAGGCACCCAAGTGTAAGGTAGGTAACCAGGTGTTGGGTAGGCACCCAGGTGTTTGATAGGCACCCAGGTGCTAGGTAGGCACCCAAGTGTTAGGTAGGCACCTGGGTGTTAGGTAGGTACCCAGGTGTAAGGTAGGAACCCAAGTGATAGGTAGGCATCCAGGTGTAAGGTAGGAACCCAAGTGTTAGGTAGGCATCCAGGTGTTATGTAGGAACTCAGGTGTTAAGTAGGCACCCAAACGTTAGGTACACACCCAGGTGTTAGGTAAGAACCCAAGCATTAGGTAGGCAATCAACTGTTAGGTAGGCCACGCAAGTGTTAGATAAGCACCCAAGCATTAGGTAGACACCTAGGTGTTAGGTAGTCACCCGGGTGTTAGGTAGGCACAGGGTGGTGTAAAACGTTTAGTGTGACAACAGTGTGTTAGTGTTAAGGTGCAAGTACTGCTTGCTTCCTCTCGCTTTCAACTACCGCCGCTGGTTACCCCTCGTGGCGAATAGGGAAGCAACTTGCATAAGTCCTCCCCTGCCAGTACACAGCCTCTTTACCTTCAAGATTCCAGCTGTGCCTCCTCCTTACAACACACGGTAACTGGGCGCCTCGTGGTCCCAGGAGAGACCAGCAGGGGACCTCGTAGCAGCAGTGGGCCCCAGAGGGATGGCACATAGGCCCACTGGCATGTGGACATGCCCTGGCGCCTACCAATCATTACCCCCGTTACCTTGGTAGGTACAAGCGTACAGGAGTAAATCCCCAAACGAAACATCTGCGATGGCGCCTCGCAACAGGCAGACATGCTTACAGAGCTCCAGTAAAACCCCAACGGCGTTATAGGCGGAAGAGGTGGCCAACGTTGAAACCCAACGATTACACCGGCGGATGAAAGCAATACAAGATAGGTCGGCTAATAAATAGAAACCCAACAGTCCATTTGAACTCTCCTCCCCAGTCGCTGCAACAGATGCACCACTGGATCAGGACAAGGGAAAGCCAAAATATGTGGCTGCAGCCTGCGCTCCTGCCTCACCACATCATTCAGCTTACGAACAGCCATCATCGAGCTCATCATACTTCTCATCATCTTCAAAACCCCCATAACATCAAACGTCCTATGGCAACGAAAGGGTGCTGATGAGGACAAGCAGAGATGACTGCCGGGAGTCTCTAGTTACTTCTATGCACATGGGTGGCATAGATAAGATGGTCGTTTATGCACTGTGATCTAGGCAGCAGTGCAATCCGGTCCTGTCTCTGCGACTGAGCAGCCTGGAAAGGGGCACTCTGCTCACCCCACATATAGAGGGGGCTAGAAAAGGTGCCCTAAACATAGCCTGCCTAAAGAACCAACCTGACAGGGCAATCGCACCCAGTAAGGTCATCATAATCACAGATAATCACAGATAATCACAGATAATCACAGATAAAAACAAGAACAAACCATACAACCTCTTATGGTTGCTGCATGCAATGTCAGGACCCTTCTAGATACTGGCACAAATGAGCATCTTGAAAGAAGAACCACCCTTGTAGCAAAAGAGCTAGCCTTGTATAACATCAGAGCAGCCATTAGTGAGTCCGGGCTCCCTGACGAGGGTTGACTCATAGAAGGGGGGCTAGCTACACCTTCTTCTGGAAGGGTAAGCCTGCTGCGGAGAGAAACTGCATTGATGGATTTGGCTTTGCCATCCGCCAATGCTTCCTACGTAGGATAACTGTAATGCCTGTTGGAATCAAGGAGCGCCAGATAACGCTCCGAGTACCGCTGAATCATTCACGTCATGCCTTTTTCATCAGTGCATACGCACCAACACTAGATGCAGAGGATGACATCAAGGAGGACTCTTACACCAACCTTGACAGAGTACTAACCTCTATCCCCAGAGAAGATAAGGCTGTGCTCCTTGGTGACTTCAAAGCAAGAGTTGGCAGAGATGCTGACATTTGACAGGGAACCATAGGGAGAAATGGACAAGGCAAGTGTAATCCCAACAGCCTACTCATCCTCTGCAAGGGTGCTACACACAACCTCACTGTCACCAATACCTAATTTAAGCAGGCCACCAAGTTCAAGGGTTCGTGGCAACACCCACAATTCAAACACTGGCATCTCAATGACTACATTATTGTCAGAGAAAGAGATCACCGAGATGCTTTTATCACCTGAGCCATGCATGGCTCACCACACAGTGACACCGATCACTGTCGCCCCAAAATGGCGACGGCAACAAGATTCTACAAGAGGCAGTAGCACATGCTTTCAGAGAGCAGCTCGAACATGGGCTGATACTCAATCCAACAACAAACAGCTCAAATCCCAGTGCTGAATGGGGTATTCTCGACTCTGTCATGACAAAAACCTACAAAGAGACCCTTGGCCAGATCCAAAGATTACACCCGGGAATCAACGTACTCATGGATGGTAAACGTGATGCTTTAACTTACTGGCAGAACAACCATCAGTCTCGGATCAAAGCTGAAATATTCCGCAAGAAGAAAGCCGTGGCCCATTGCGAACTTCGCAATCTAAGGAACGAATAGCTGAAAAATAATGTACGTAAAATGCAAAAACTGGCAGATCAACACAGCCTCTGCAAATTTTTCAATTCCACCAAAATATTTTATGGGCCAGTCACTCATAACACAGCCTCCCTCTGCTCGTCCGATGATAACTCCGAATTAAAGATGAAGAAAGCATCCTTCAGCGCTGGAAAGAGAAAACCATACGCTGCTCAACAGAAACACCAATGTGGATGTCATGACTACCCAGTAGGTCCCTCAGCATCCACAGCTAACCAACCTCAGTTACCTTCCATCCCTGGATGAGGTAGGTACTACCATCAACAAGATGAAAGCCTAAGGGCCTGATGGAATCCCAGCCAAGGTGCATAAAGCAGGAGGACCTCTGCTTACCAGCCGTTTCCACTTTCTCCTGGAGAATATATGGGAAAAGGAAGAAATCCCCCAAGCTCTTGAACACAACTCCATCGTCATTATTTACGAGAACAAGGGAGATCAGTCAGACTGTGGCAACTACCACGGGATCTCGCTGTTGTCCATAACTGGCAAGATTATCGCCAGAGTCCTCCTAAACAGACTTCGTCCTCAGGCAGAAATCTTCCTCCAAGAATCTCAATGGAGCTTTAGACCATCACGTGGCACCACTGACGTAATCTATGCTGCCCGCCAGATACAGGAAAAGTGCAGAGAACAGCGTCGTGACCTGTACATGGCCTTCATCGACCTTACCAAGGCCTTTGACTCGGTCAACAGGGAAGCCCTCTGGTGGACCCTCAGCCGTTTTGACTGCCCACCAAAATTCATCACCATCGTGAGGCAAGTCCATAATGACATGAACGACAGCGTCCTGCACAATGGCACACATTCTGAGTTCTTCGCCATCGAAATAGCGGTAAAACAAAGATGTGTACTGACACCAACTCTCCTTTCCATTTTCTTGACTGCCCTCCTTACTCGTGCCAGTGCCAATTTATCCGGAAGAAGGGTCTTTTCAACATAAGTCGACTCCAGGAGGATAAAAGGTGTCAGCAGCTTCCATTACTGAACTTCAGTATGCAGACGACCTCACCCTCGTCGCTCACACTGAACGCGACCTACAGGAGATCCTGAACACCTACACAGATGCGTATACGCACTTCAGCCTTGACGTGAAAGTACATAATATTCAGATTCTCTTTCAACCTGCCCCTAGTTCAACCACACCTCCACCATCCATCCAGCATAATGGTACTACCCTCTCTAATGTTACCCACTTTCAGTATCTCGGCTCCCACCTGTCCACCACCGCAGACATCGATGAAGAGATTCAACATCGGATCTCATATGCATCTCAAATCTATGGCATACTCTGTACCCATGTCTTCAGCTGCAGGGAGCTGAAATTCTCTATAAAGTTGCACGTATATCGAGCAGTAGCCCTCCCCACCTTGATATATGACAGTGAAATTTGTGTCATATACAAGAGGCAGCTCAAGGCACTTGATAACTTTCACCAACGTAAAGGTAGTCTACATTTCATCCTCTGAGTTCGCTGGGAAGAAAAGGGCATTGAAGCTATCATTATCTATAGCCAACTACATTGAATGGGCCATGTTACCCGCATAGACGACTAGAAAGGTATAAGGATGGACTTAAGACAAACCTGAAAACGTTCCAAATCGACCCACTCACCTGAAAGACAATCACCCCACACGAGAACGGAGGGGGGCTGCGCCACGAGTGATTGGCCCATAAAATGTTTTAATGGAATTGAAAAATTCGTGCATCTTGTGCTGGCCTGCAAATTTTTGTGTTTGACATACTTGATTTTAAACCAATCGTTCTTTAGATTGCGAATTTCCCGCTGGGCCACCGCTTTCTTCTTGCGGAAGGTATCAGCTTTGGTCAGAGACTGAGGGTCGTTCTGCAAGTCAGTGAAAGCAGCACGTTTATCATCGATGAGTACATTGATTGCGGGATCATTTTCATTAAAGCAGTCCTGGTGAACTCTTTCGATCTGGCCGGGGGTCTCTCTGCAGGCTTTTGTCATGACAGTATTGAGAATATTCCATTCAGCACTGGGATTTGTGTTGCTTGCTGTTGGGTTGTTTATCAGCCCATGTTCGAGCTGCTCTCTGAAAGCATGTGCTACCGCTGGGTCCACCAGACGCTTAATGTTAAAACCTCTTCTGGAGGCTTGCTGCCTTCGCCGTTTTGGAGCAACGTGAAATTAAGAGCTTGGCTCTGACAAGCCGTTGATCAGTGTCACAGTGATCTGAACCACTCATGGCACGGGTGATGAAGACATCTCGGCGATCTCTTTCTCTGACAATGATGTAGTTCATGAGATGCCAGTGTTTGGATCGTGGGTGTTGCCACGAACTCTTGAACTTGTTGCCCTGCTGAAACAAGGTATTGGTGATAGTGACCCCGTGCTCAGCACACCTGTTGAGGAGGAGTAGGCCATTGGGATTACACTTCCCTAGTCTATTTCTCCCAATGGTTCCCTGCCAAATGTTAGGATCTCTGCCAACTTTGGCATTGAAGTCGCCAGGGAACAAAATCTTGTCTTATCTAGGGATTGAGGTTAGCACTCCGTCGAGGTCGGCATAAAAGGCCTCCTTGATGTCATCCTCTGCATTGAGAGTTGGGGAGTATGCACTGATGAAAAAAGCATGATGTGAGTGATTCAATGGGACTCGGAGCATCATATGACGCTCGTTGATCCCAATAGGCATTTCAGTTAGCCTGTGTAGGATGCGTTGGCGGATGGCAAAGCCAACTCCATTAATGCAATTTCTCTCCCCAGCAGGCTTACCCTTCCAGAAGAAGGTATAGCCAGACCCCTGTTCTGTTAGTTGGCCCTCATCTGGAAGCCAGGACTCACTAATGGCTGCTATGTCGATGTTATACCTAGCCAGCTCTTTTGCCACAAGGGCAGTTCTTCTTCAGGACGCTCATGTGTGCCAGTATCCAGTTGGGTCCTGACATTCCATGCAGCGACCATAAGAGGTTGTATGGTTTGTTTTTGGTTGGATCTGTGATTTTGACGGTGTTTTCGACCTCATTAGGATGACCGTACTGGGTGCGGTTGCCCAGTCAGGTTGAGTTTTTAGGCAGGCTATGTTTAGAGCATCTTTTCTAGCCCCCTCCCCCATGTGGGGTGAGCAGAGTGGCTCCTCGAAAAGGCTGCTCAGTCTCACAGACAGGACCGGATTGTACTGCTGCCTAGATCCCAGTGCATAAACGACCATATTATCTGTGCCGCCCATGTACAGAGTTGTGACTAGAGACTCCCGTCAATTATCTCTGCCTGTCCCCGTCGCCAATCGTTCGTCGCCATAGGACTTTTGGGGGAATAAGGTTTTGATGATGATGAGAGGTATGATGAACTGGATGATGGCTGCACGTGAGTTGATTTATGTGGTGAGGCAGGAGCGCAGGCTGCAACCACACATCTTGGCTCTCCCTTTTCCTGATCCAGTGGTGCAAGTGTTGCAACGACTGGGGAGAGGGAGAGTTGCAATGGACTGCCGATAGCCCAGTTTGTTTGGTTTAACCTTAGTAGCCTGTCCATCAGGCATTGCCTATGTCCGCCGGTGTAATCATTGGGTTTCCATGGTGGTCACCTCTTCCGCCTATACCGCCGTTGGGGTCTTGTTGGAGTTCTGTAAGCATGTCTGCTTGATGCAGGGCTCCATCACAGAGTTTTCGTTCGATGTTTACTCCAGCAAGGCATCGGACCAATGGTTGGTAGGCGCCAGGACGTGTCCACATGCTGTCCCTCTGGAGCCCACTGCTACTCTGAGATCCCCTGCTGGTCTAGCCTGGGCCCACGGGGCACCCAGTTACTGTGTTGCCACGAGGAGGCACAGCAGGAGTCTTGACGGTGAAGAGGCTATGTACTGGCAGGGAAAGACTTATGCAAGCTGCTTCCCTGTTCGCCACGAGGGCTAGCCAGCGGCCGCAGCTGAAAGTGGAGGGAGCAAGCAGTGCTTGTACCTTAACACTAACATAATAGTGCCACTCTAGACGCGTTTCACCAACCTGTGGGTGGCTGCACACACACACACACACACACACACACACACAGTGACCTACCATGTGACAACCTCTTCATCCCCATTATAAATGATGATCAAATATTGTACATAGACTTACAAATAGTCTAATTATCATTATTATTATTATTATTCACAGATACTTGGAGATTATCTTAACACTGTACAGCACATGGTTAAGAATTTATTAATGTGCCCATTCACACATCTCTAAATTGCCATTACACGTGAACCAGGCAGTGTTTGACTAAGCTAAGAAGAAAACTCAGGATTTCGAGAAATGGGTTGGGACAAATGGTGAGCAGGATAGGAGGATGTATGCCAGATCCAGGAACCAAGCAAAGTCAGAGTGTAGAAGTTCTGAAAACGAGTTCTAGAGGCAGATTGCAAGTGAGGTCAAGTCAACCCCCAAAGGCTTTTTACCATATAGCAAACTCGAAATTAAAAATGCGATTAGGCATATCGTACCTGAGGCTTGAAGATGGTAGTTTCGCAGATTCTGGCCAGGACAAGGAGGAGGCGTTGAACAAATCCCTTTCCTCGGTGTTCACAAGAGAGGATGCAAACAATATTCCTGCATTTGAGGAAAGAAGGTTTGACACAGCGCTCACCCACATTGTGTTCTCAGAAGGGTAATAAAAATAAATCGCCGTAGTTAAAAATTCTTAAGGATCCCGGCCCTGATATGGTGCATCACAGTGTTAAGAGAACTGTGTAATGAGCTTGGGGAGCCTTTAAAATCCTGCTCTGTAAATGCCTGGACGAGCAAAATGTCCCCAATGACTGGAAAATGGCTTATGTGAGTCTGATATTCAAGAAGGGCGATCGTCTCTCCACGAATATTGTAAAGCCGCGAGCCTGACAAACATAGTGTGTAAATTACTAATGAGCATCATAAGAGATGCCATTATGGAACATCTGTTTCGAAACAATCTTGTAAAGGTCTGCCAACACAGTTTTATGCCAGACGCTCCTGCTCAGTACAATTACTCAAGGTCCTGGATATTTGGACTCAAATTCTAGAACAAGGCGGAAATATCGACAATACAGTGTATACTGTACCTAGATTTTGCAAAGCTTTTGACAGAGTACCCCATGAAAGGCTTAGAATTAAATTGGAAGGGTAAGGAATTCGGATAAGTGACCTAGCGTCGATCGGAAACTTTCTTCACGATCGCAAGCAGTGTGTGGTTATTAATGGCACAAAATCGTCATGTGTACCTGTGACAAGCCGGGTACCACAGAGCAGTGTATTGGGTCCGTTGTTGCTTGTCTGCTTCATAAATGACATGCCAGAAGCTATACACTCATCCAAACAAATGTTGGAGGACTATGCCAAGTTATTTAGGGAAATTAAGAACCAAACAGACTGTGAAGACCAACAGAAAGATCTCTGTGAGCTTCAAGAATGGTCGAAGATATGTCTGCTTAGATTCAATGTCATTAAGTGCAAGAGAATGCACCTGGGTCGCACCAACAGTAAGGAAGTGTATCATATGCCCCAACAGGACGAAGAAACTGCGTTAATTGAGACCGAATGTGAAAAGAACCTGAGTGTGTATGTCGACAAGGAACTTAAATTCTCGGGCCATTGTGAGAAGAAGGTGAATCAAGCAACTCAACTAGTAGGTCTTATAAGAAGGTCGTTTAGACATCAGGATGGTCTGTCGCTCGTCATGGTCATTAAGAGTGAGGTATTTCCCCGTCTGGAGTACTGTCACCCTGTCTGGTCCCAGGGATATGCTAGAGACTTTCAATTGGTTGAAACTGTCCAAAGGAGGGCCACCAGACTGGTGCCTGCTTTACGGAACCTCATCTACCCAGAGATTAGAACATCTGCAACTGCCTAGCTTATACTACAGACGGGTAGTTTAAGTGTATAAACATCTCAGAGGGCACTACTCAGTCGAATGTGCATACCTGGAGCTGGAGGACGCCCGCTCCACAAGGGGTCACAGCTCAAGGTTGAAGAAGTCACAAGTCCAGAAAACAGCGAGGGCAAACTTTTTCGGTGTAAGAGCTGTGAACACTTGGAACAACCTGCCAGAGAGTATTGTGACGGCATCGTGTGTGAGCTCTTTCAAGGCCGCACTTGACCAACACCGGAGCAGGTTCCGATATATTCAGGAGCCAGTTCATGACCAGTACTTGCCAACAGTGCGTAACAGAGACGTGACCGACCGCCCAAGCGGCTAACGAGCCGATCAGTGGTGAAGAGGATAAAAGTAAAAAGTAAAAGTAAGACTGAGACATCCGCGTATTCTCGAAAGGGAAAATGCTGAATGTCATCCCTGTGGAAAAACTAAGTGCAGACATCCCATGATTCATGAAAGGGTTACATTCCTGAAAAATCACCCATAAATCAATATATTTCATAAATCGTGGGATGCCTGTATTTAATAACAGACTACAGACTATAAATTCATACTGTACACTAACTGTACACTACCCCGGGTTTACTGATCGCTCTACCATGCTGAACTGGTTATCACATCTCGTGTTAAGAAAAATAAATGCTGTATCACTGTAACAACATAATTACCTATAGCTGTATCTGGAGATCTGATTACTAGATTTTAAGTAATGTATCACACAGGTGAGTCATCATCAACAGCAGCAGCGACAGATGAGACAGCAAGAACAGAGCGCCTCCACATACAGCAGCCTCCCACACCAGCTCAACCACTTGCCATACATGGACAGAAACACAACCTTCACTAAATAAGTAAGACCCCTAATCTTTCCATACATTACCTGACCAAGGTTCCCTTTAATTGTTTACATCAATGTGTAGAATGTCTTTCATGTGCACCATTATCAAGGTAATGTGCAGATGTGAGCCATCAGTAAAACCAAAAAATCTACTATATAATTTGTGTTTAGTTACCATCGATATACAAGATATCCAAAAAATATATAAAAAGGTGGAAAAAACAAAGTGCACTGCTAATATGTTTATTGTATCTGATATAATAGAGAGATGCCACTATCGCTGACGATATGAGTGGCTGTAAAAATTAATTGTGCAGCACTTGATAGGCTGTTGTGCAGCCACTTACGTCCACATACTAGAGCATCATTGTACCTGACCTAATTAAGCTACCCACACATTACCTTACCTAACTAACCCAACCTAATATAACAAAACCTGACCTAATCTAACCTAACATAACCTAAATTAACCAACCTAACAAAATGTGACCTGACTTAACTTGAACAAACCCAACCTAACCTAACAAAGTCTGACCTAACCTATTATTTATTACTTTTACTTTTATCCTCTTCGCCACTGATCGGCTTGGTAGCCGCTTGGGCGGTCCGTCACGTCTCTGTTATGCACTTTTGGCAAATTCTGGGCATGAACTGGCTCTTGAATATGTCAGAACTTGCTCCAGTGTTGGTCAAGTCTGGCCTTGAATGAGCTCACTCGGTGCCGTCACAATGCTCTCTGGCAGATTGTTCCAAGTGTTCACAATTCTCACTCCGAAAAAGTTTGCCCTCACATTTTCTGGACTTGTGGCTTCTTCAACCTTGAGTTGTGACCCCTTGTGGGGCGGACGTCCGCCACCTCCAGGTATGTACTGTACATTTGACCTAGTGCCCACTGAGATGTTTATACACTTCGATTAGATCGCCCCTGCACCTCTGTGGTATAAGCTAGGTAGTTGAAGGTACTCTAATCTCTCTGTCCTTTGGACATTTTCAATCAATTGACAGTCTCTAGCATACCTCGGGGACTAGACGAGGTGACACTACCCCAAGCGGGGAAGAAACTCACCGTTGAAAATCGTGACGAGCGACGGACTATCCAGATATCTAAACGACCTTCTTATAAGACCTACTAGTCTCGTTGCCTTGTTCACCTTCTCACAATGGCCCGAAAACTTAAGTTCATTGTCAACATACTCATCCTGGTACTTTTCAGATACGGTCTCAATGAATGCAGTCTCTTCGTCCTGTTAGGACATATGATACGCCTCCTTACTGTTGGTGCGACCCAGGTGCATTCTTTTGCACTTCGTGACATTGAATCTTAGCAGCCGTTTTTTCGACCATTCTTGAACCTCATAGAGATCTTTCTATGGGTTTTCACAGTCTGTTTGGTTCTTAATTTCCCGAAATAGCTTGGCGTTACACTTTCTGATCGGCCTTTGGATGGTCAATCCCAGCCATGAACGCAACTTCTAACATAACTTGACCTAACCAAAAATTACCTGGCTTAAATTAACTTAACATTACCTATCATGCATTACTGAATCCTTTTCGTCACTGATCACCCTGTTAGCCACTTGGACAGTTGGTTACATCTCTAATATGCACAGTTGGTAAGTACGTACTGGGTATGTATTGGCTCCAGAATTTACCTATACCGACAACAGTGTTGGTCAAGTCTGGTCTAAAATGAGCTCACAACTCTTACTCCACAAAAAGCTAGCTCTAACAATTTTCTGTGCATGTAGGTAAAGTCTCCTGGTACTGTACTGTACAGATACTGTATTGTGAAAGCTGCCTGGCTAAAAAGAGATAGCCACAACTTTATTTTTCATTTGTCTTTTCTTTTAACTAGACTTATTTTTACCCAACCAAAAACAACTGTTGTGTGCAACCTGATCCATAATCTGAGACACAAATATTAACACTGGAGTTCAGAATATATCTGAGGCCTGTTTTCGTCAATTCTATTTATCAATGATATTTTGATGTTTTTAACAAACTGCAAATGAAAAAATACTATATATATATATTTATATATATATATATGTATATATATATATATATATATATATATATATATATATATATATATATATATATATATATATATATATATATATATATATATATATATATATATATATATATATATATACTTTATTATTATATCCATCTTAAAATATCAAGTCTTCAAATTTATTTTAAGCCATGACTCAGGTGTTAATGACTGATAATAATAATTGTTACCCATTTTCTTAGAGCACTTCACATGAGTAGTTCCTCTGTAAGACAATATTCCTTATCTGTGAGGCAAAAGTACTATACTCTAGCTCAGGGAAAAAATCTGTAACTAACAATTGTATTTTCTTCATCTTTCACAGACAATCTGATGACTCTATGATGACATAACAACCTAAGTGCACACTTTATGGTATTTTGTCTGGTCTTTCTATGCCAAGTTCAGGAAAATATGGCAAAAGTCATAGAAAGCTTGTGGAAATTTAATGAATATATATTGAATAAAGTGAGACTTGCAGAAAAACTTATCGTGGAGCAATTCAAGCAGCAACAACTGTTTGAATAAGGATACAGCAGGCAAAAGTTAAGTACCAAAACAATCACTGGTCCAACACAAGGCCCTCAACTACAATACTAACTAATTTGGAATAACTTGACCTAATGACTGACTGACACATGCGGAGTGATCACAATATCTCCCTAATGAGCATAACAGCAGAGCAAGTTGGAAAAAGGTTGTCACTGAGTAAGTGAGTCATTGACCCTCGTGTTTGCCAGCTGAGTAAAGTCTCATATTCTACACAGCATCTTGTCCCTTCAGCTTAAATAAGTGGTGATTGCTTTTCTTTTTCAGTATGATGAACAAACAAAAGAATAGAATTCTTGAGACGACTGAACATCTCAGGTGTTGCCTCAGAGTCTTAAGAAAGTACTCAGTGAAGGAGGTTTCATGTATGTGTGTGTAGGTTGTCAACCTCAAGGACCAGAGGGTTTAACACCTAATAAGGAAGGTGATATTATCGTTTATGTGGAGTTCCAGGTGGTTTTGTTTTTTATGTTGTTATGTTGTAGTCTCATATGGAACAAAGCATTAGATATTACAGGAAGATAATTCAGCAGACAAAATTTAAATTGTCTTCTAGAGGCGAACAAAATTTATACAAGTTTGTATCAAGCAAAGCTGACGCTGGAATAGACTAAATATTCTCTTTCACTATATACCAACATTTTACAAGAACCTCAGACAACCATTAAGTCGCTGCCTCGGATAATTGTACAGCAGATGGTAAAATAGGTGAAACCAGCCAGCTAAGGATGGTTCATGAAACAGTTTATTCTCTTTCAAGATTTTAATATTTTCTCTTTCCTTGGTACAACAGGACAGCTCCTTTCTGTGAGGAAAAGAGACTTGTCACTTTGGCAGCCTATATTATTTACCATGATATAACAGGGGCATGAGTAGAGTTGAAGATCGCTTAATTCCATAAAAACAGCCAAGCATCTCCCAGATAATAACGAGCTTTGATTAGAGATATTTTCATTGTCAAATTCGTCAACAATTCTAAGGTTTTTTTTATATTTTTATTATTTGGTACAGTACTGTACTGTCATTATCAGTAGTTAATGGGGGCTTATGAATCAATTCATCAGTACAGAAGAGTAATTCATTAGCAGTTGGCACAGCTTATAGCAAAATATAATTCAGTTATGACACAAGTGATAACTCTCACTTATGGGGGAAAGTGATTTTGATACTGGAAACTCAGTTTACTCCAATAATCAGGTGTCATTTGTTTTACTTCAGCATTTGACCATGTATGAGAACCTGTAATGTACTCAGGTAAATCAGTGTAAACAAATTTCACATGTGAGCACCATTTGCAAATAGCCTATATACATGTGATACTTGTGCCGGCCCTAATAACATCACAACTCTCTTACCCTGACCATTAGGACTGATGCCCATTTAGGATTAGTGCCCATTAGGATGGGTCCCCATTTTTTTTCTTTCTTTTTTTTTCTTTTTACGGGGAATAGCCCACCCAGGCATAGGTCATTGACCCACAACGGGGCGTAGGGAGACGAAAAAATAAAAGTAAAAAGAAACTAAATTTAGGAAAAAAAAGGACTACTCTTATAATCTACACCACGAAGATGCCAGAAAACCAGCCTTTTGAAGCGAGACAGATTGTAATAGTATGGCAACACAGATTAAGATTAGTCTATAAGGGTAAAACACTGACTCTCAAACACACTGACTCTCCAACACACTACACAAAGACACTCTGACTCTCCAGCACACTACAATTTCACCTGGGCACACAACACAGTACACACTGCTTAGAAATTTCCTTCTTGTTTGTGAACAGCACCTTAAGGTTATATCCAGTACTGTATGTTCTCCAATACTGTATTGTCAACAGTAGCTATTCTTCACCATGACCGCTGTAACATAGACTTAAAGGGGCACCTACTGGTAATTCATAGTGGATATGGCGAACAATAGAGTTATGAGGAGAAAATGCTAGAGTATATAGTGATGTCCTGGATATTGCAACTTCCTGAAAGGACTGTAAACACAAACATCAAAAGACCTTGTAAGCATCACTGAACAGGCTATGATAAACAATATTTGGTAGGTCTTAAGAAAGTACAGTACAGTAATATCCATGTTCACTTTTTAACAATGTATGTCAGATAATGTTAACAAAGTATATCCATATTTTTAAATAGGCTTTATATAAAAAATAGAGAATAGATGAAGAGAAAATTTAACAATAGTCTCATTAAACTGCATGCAATACTGTTCTAACTTTTAGTATCTTTCACAAGATGTTGTTTTACCAACTAAGATATAGTAGACACATATAATTCGTATACCTAATTGTGTAAACATGTTGATAATGTAATAAAATAGATGATTAAAGTGCTAGAGTATGCCTGTTGATCTGTCTTTACCATAATAGTTGGCTGCAGTTCCTTTATGATTCTTGAGCAGTATGATAGTTTGGTCCACTATTCTATGCAGAGGTGGCAATTAATAAAACCACTCAAAGAAAAAAAGAATTTTTTGTGTTTTTTGTTTTTTTAATAAATTTATCAAATATAGTACAAACTTTGAGATACGAAAATTAGCTTATGCGAATTTCCTCAATTGACACCACTATTTCGTGTTACAAAAGTTTTCCCCGTTGTGGTGGACACATCCCCCTAGCACTCTCCCTACCAGGCTGAGGTAGGAGTTTTTATCTCGTAATTTTGGGTATTCAGTAAAACAAAACTTTCTTCATATTTTTTTCATTCATTTACATGCATATACAGAATGTGCAAGAAAAAAAAAATCATCATGAGGTCACAGAATAAAGGGATTATATATTTACTGTATTTGTGTACCAGCGAGAGCTAGCAGGATGAGATAGGGGAGTTATGATTATTTTTCAACTTGTACTTTTGGATAGATAAGATTAACTTTCTTAACTTTTTTAATTCAGATACATGCACACACAATCCTACACACATAATGCGCAAAAAAAGTAAAAGAAATAACTATCATACAGAAAAAAACATAAAGGGCATAAACATTTATTACTTGTGTGGGAGCTGGCACAAGAGAATGAGGGAGAGAGGGAGTGGCATCCTCTCACGACTCTGCTATCTCTGAGAGACACGATATAATTTTATGTTCCAACATGTTATAGACCCCACACATTACAGATGGGAGCAATCACCCAAGCCACTAGACCTCATCATAACAAACAAGGAGGGTATGGTGGCCAAACTGGAACACCTTGCCCCAGTTGGCACCAGTCACCATATACTGTTGTCATTCATATTTAACTGTTACCTGATTCAGGATAAGGCCAGGCCAAGGTGCAAATATTACAAAGGAAATTACAACGGGATGAGGGAAGAGGTGAGGGGTATCCACTGGCCTGACTCATTGAGGTACAAGAATGCAGACACTACGCTGAATATCATAACTAGTAAAGTGACCCATTTGATCGATAAATATATACCCAAGACCAAACCCAGTGCCTCTAGGAATACGAGGGGATCCCTACACATGAACCATGTGGCGGTCGACAAAGTTAAGAAGAAAACCCAGAAATTCAAGACGGGGGTTGAGTCAAACGATAAGCAGGACAGGAGGTTGTATGCAAGAGCCAGAAACCGAGCAAAGATAGAGTGTAGAAGAGCTGAAAAGGAGTTCCAGAGGCTGGTTGCAAGCGAGGTCAAGTCAAACCCAAAGGCGTTTTACCGCTATGCAAAGTCGAAATTAAAAACGCGAGTTGGAGTATCAGACCTGAGGCTTGAAGATGATACTTACGCAGATTCTGACCAGGATAAAGCTGAGGCATTGAACAGCTTCTTTTTCTCGGTGTTCAAAAAAGAGGATGCGACTAACCTTCCTGCGTTTGAGGACAGACGGTTCGACACAGCACTGACCCACATTGTGTTCACAGAAGAGGGTATTAGAAATAAACTGTCCAGGCTAAAGGTCCATAAGAGTCCCAGCCCTGACATGGTGCATCCTAGAGTGCTAAGAGAGTTGTGCAACGAGCTTGCAGCGCCCCTGAAGATCCTGTTTTGTAAATGCCTGGATGAACAAATGGTCCCCAGTGAATGGAAAGTGGCTTATGTGAGTCGGATCTTCAAGAAGGGCGATCGTCACTCCACGAACAACTATAGACCGGTGAGCCTGACCAGCATAATATGTAGGGTACTTGAGAGCATTATCAGAGATGCCGCAATGGAACATCTACTATGAAACAACCTTGTAAAGGATTGCCAACACGGTTTTATGCCGGGGCACTCTTGCTTAACACAATTGCTCAAGGTATTGGATATTTGGACCCATATTCTGGAACGGGGTGGTAATATCGATAATATTTACCTAGATTTTGCCAAGGCTTTCGACAGTGTACCCCACGAAAGGCTGAAAATCAAATTCGGGGAAATGTCCTAGCGTGGATAGAAGACTTTCTACATGACCGCAAGCAGTGTGTGGTGATTAATGGCACGCAATCATCATCTGTACCTGTTACAAGTGGGGTACCACAGGGCAGTGTATTGGGCGAAAACGGCGCTTCTACCTGTGTCGCCGTCAGATCCTGCTCAGCCGTGAGTGCAGTCACTACCTTCCCTGGCTGTTCGTCAAATTCTGGCTGTGATCTCATCAAGGCTCGGGACTCGTGGGCTGTGTCCCCAGACCTTCAACTATCGACTGTCAATTCTCTGGTCATCTACCACTACCGCATACCACGACAGTCAGTTCATCTCATTCCGTCTGTGCCCCGGTGTTCTCCTGCCATTTCAAGACGTCGCTCGAGTGTGGAGTTGAATGGAAGCTTCCCTACCCTGAGTGTGCATCACCGTGTTCCAGAACCTTCCCCCAGGGCCACTGCCCTAGGAAATATCGGTTCATTGTTTGATTCTATCAGTTGTTGACTCCCATTAATTGTTTGATTCTATTAATTGCTGACTCCCTTTAATTGTTTGCTCCCTTTAATTGTTTGCTTCCATTAATTGTTTGAATCCATTAACTGTTGACTTGACTTAATTGTTTGACTCCCGTAATTGTTATTTGATGTTTGTTGAGTGGTGTCAGAGTTTTGTGTTATATTTTTTATAGTAAAGAGATGTCAATCTCAAACGGGTTGTTTGTTATTCCTCAGAAAACCATGGTCCTTGACTTTCCTTAATTAAGAACCTGATTAGTCTGGTTAGGGTTTTCTATCCCTAAGTCCCAGGTCTTTACATTTACTGATGTCGCCAATTATTTCGAAATCCACAGAACCAAAGCCCAGGACTGTGGTAGCTGCAGAAGGACACTCTGTGGGCTCCAGAATGGTCGAAGAAATGGCTGCTGGATTCGATATGCGAAGTGATAAGTAAGTATAAATGAGCAAGTAGTATCATAAACATTACATTACATAAAATATAAAAATATGGAGTAAAACTGAAAGGTGTAGGTGATTAGAGATGGAGTGGAAAAGGTGGTAACATGCATCAGTGTTGCCCAAGCGATAAGCTCTCAACAGCTGATCTTTTAAACTCCATGCAGTCACTATACAAGACCCTCACTGGATGCATATTGTCTTAATTTCCCATGTGTACTAGTGTGTGTGTTTGCAGCACACACACAGAATGAAATGCGTCTAGGTAGAGCATTATGTTGGTGTTAAGTGCAAGCACTGCTTGCTCCTCTCTTCTCTTTCAGCTGCCGCCGCTGGCGGCTGGCCCCTAGTGCCGAGGGAAGCAACACGCCAGAAGTCTGCCCTGCCAGTACACAGCCCCTCACCATCAAGACTTGTGATGTTTCATCCTCGCTGTATGCAGCCAGCTGGGTGCCTCGTGGGCCCAGGCTAGATCAGCAGGGGATCTCGGGTAGCAGTAGGCCCCAGAGGGACAGTAGCATAGGTCCCACGAGCATGGACGTCCTGGCGCCTACCAACCACCCGCCCATGCCTTGCAGATTAACCAAGTAGGTATAAGGCTACAGGGAGAGGAAACCTCGAGCAAAAAATCTGCAGTGGAACCCCCGCATCAGGCAGCGGACATGCTTACTGAGCTCCACTAAGACCCCAATGACAGTAGGCGGAAGAGGTGACCACCATGGAAACCCAACGACTACAACTGTAAAATAGGCGGACGAAGGCAAAGCCTGATGGACAGGCTACTAAGGCGAAACTCAACAAACTGAGCTATTGGCAGTCCATTGCACCTCTCCCTCTCCCCAGTCGTTGCAACACTTGCACCATTGGATCAGGAAAAAGGAGAGCCAAGATGCGTGGTTGCAGCCTGCGCTCCTGCCTCACCACATAAATCAACTCACCCGCAGCCATCATCCATTTCATCATACCTCTCATCATCATCATCAAAACACCTATACACCTATACCCCAAAAAGTCCTATACCGACAGAGGAGTGGCGACAGGGACAGGCGGAGATGACTGCCGGGAGTCTCTATTCACAACTCTGCACATGGGCGGCACAGATATGATGGTCGTTTATGCACTGGGATCTAGGCAGCAGTGCAATCCCCACATGCCGAGGGGGCTAAAAAAGGTGCCCTAAACATAGCCTGCCTAAA